ATTTTTATTTTCCTGCCATTTCCCATGATTAATCATGTCAGGAACGAATAAATTCGAAAAATGAACATTAACTGCAGTTATATCCAATTAATGACTTTCTTCTATGAGCATGATTAATTTTACTTTGTGTTTCTATTCCTTCTATGGTAAATTAAATCATAACCGGCTAGTAAAATTGAAAAATCCTTTATTTATAAAATATTCTTGTTGTTTAACTGTCTATCAATCATTTCTCAAATTGTGACCGGCATTTCTTTTATTTGCATTGACTTTTTCATCGATCATCGATGCTCTACTGTGCATAAATCATATCTCAAAGTTTCTATATCCGGGTATTATTTATTCACCATTAACTTTTTATTTTCAGATGAGAATTGACGGACATGTATGATCCTACTAAATTGCTAGTCACTTGAAATCTGTTGATAGATTTAGTTTTCACTATACTGTCAAAACGAATAATTCTGACTAACTCTTTCTAGAAAGTAAAAATTCTAGTGCAGAATTACTAGTAAGTCGATGATCTTCATGCAACTTGTTCAATATATTGAAATAATATCACGATTCAAGTCGCCTTTGCCATATCCTATTACATAATCTCTGATCATCACCGTTTTTTAGTCTCTAATAAAGTTATTTCATCTCTTCTTCGCTTTACTCAATTTTTTTCATTCTTTCCGCCATTATTTCTTAGCAGTTCCTTCCATTTTCTATCGCTAATCATTATAACTTTATTATTCGTATGCTCATTATCACCTAGATCTGCCAATGTTGTGATTTTTCTATTCTACTCTTTAAAGTCGACTATAGTACTGTTAATATATATGCGTATAATACATATAGAAAAAGGAAACTATCCCTGGGAAGATCGTTTCTTTAGACCTTTTTTAGCAGCTATTCATTCTATTTCCAGGCCATATTTCAGAATTTTCCATCTATCCTTAGACCTTAATGTTCATTTGCCTGGATTTCAAATACTTTTTTACTTTTATCAAGTTCGAGCTCATCAATTATAACTGACGACAACAAAGACTGTGCTTAAAGCATTTTTATGATAATCTCTACAGTAGAGATTTTTTCTATCTTTACTTAAGAACTCTATCTAATTACACCATAGAAAAATTGCAAGTATTAATTAGATTCATTTCCGATCATTAAAATATAATTTCTTTTCAAGTGTCTAGATCAATTTTTACTATCGATATATCGTTCATGGACCTTATGACAAAAATGTTTATAGTTCATAACGACTTCATCAACATCAATTTTTTACTGACAATCAAAGTCTTTCTTTAATCAAAAAGTCTTAAATTAGTTGTGAAAGTTTCAGAACCGATAAATAGTATACTGATAGCGCTTAATTACCTGATTCTCTTTTTAGATTTTATCTTTTATTATTTTTAGGAGTATCTTATCGTGATCTTCTCTTTTCATTTCTTGATTGAGAGAAGGTGCTAATACCTTTTAATGATGATAAACTAGAGGATAATGATCAATTATGGCTATCTTTTGTCATCTCTTTCAGTAACTAGCATCTTTCTATTAGTAGTATCTCTGTTCAAATTCACTTTACTACTCTTAACCATTGCAGTTTATGCTATAATACTTCGTAGTAAGTATAAAATTCAAGTGAAGATCAATTTCTGATAATCCATGTTCGATCTCTTTTACCAGTCTCATTTTACCTTTTTGATTACATTTCGTATATGATTTACAGCATAAATCTAAAGAAGATTGTAATAGCAAGAGTAAATGTTCATAGAAGATTTCGTGCCTACCTTAATTTAAATTCCTTTCTATTCTAATAATGGATATATAGCCTAGTTATAATGACATATTTCCAGAGTTCGAGTATCCTAATTTGCATGGACACTCTACTATTTGCTATAATCTTCTATCGTTCTCGCTTTAACTCTTAATTTTAACTCATCATTGTTGCTACAAGTATCATTCATTCTACCTTCAACAATGTCGTTGTTAACCATTTATTCATACCGTGAATATAATCATCTTGCAATAAATCTAATGGATATTGTGGATACTTTATTATTTAAGCAGCTTCAATCATTTTCGAACACTATTATTAGGTTTACTGTCTTACAAAAGATTGCATGCGGTGTAATCTTGTTTTGATTCATTTTTGATTTTCCTAATCTTCGTTACATTTATCACAGAAATATCTTGATTTATTTTTTACAATATATAAGTATGGCCATTCTATTCATTCAATAGAGTAGTAAATGATAGGACTTTGTCTTTATCAGTTATTTCCACTTACAGGCCGTAGTAAAGCATTGGATATTTACTTGTAAACTTTATTCCTTCTCTTCTTAAGCCATTCATTGCTATTGAATTTTTGAATTTTATTTATAATCCAATATTGTAACCGGTCAGTCGTTTACTTTCTAGAAGAATCATTGTCAATTTATGTATTATGGTTCTCTTTTCTCTTCCTGTGTAATCTTCGGGGTTTTATCAAATGTGATAATTTCATTAGTCGTTACCATTCTTTCTATTTCTAGAAGAGCTTCAATAATTAACTTAAAAGTCTAGTGCCCATAACGATTATGCAATTGTTTTTTCCATCTAGTCCATAACATCTTTTCTGTAGAAATTATTTCACACTCCGTGGCGTTAGTAATAAGATTAGATTAATTTTCATACGGTTGATAATGAAGTGATTATTAAGAGCAAGTTATAAGGGTCGCATTGCTGTTAGTTCTTTCTATTCAATCAGCTGTGATGGCCAGTAAAAATAAAGATTCGAGTACCAAGCTAGGCATTTTATGTTAAGTTAAGAAAAGACTTTGTTCATTTCGTAGAGAGTCCAATGTACGTAATGGCGTCGCTAAAATTAGCTAATGAAAAACGATTTACTTTACTAACATTGTATTTATCCTTTGCTTTATTGAGATTATGCTGATCAATCTTACCAAGCGAATTTAAGAGAATTCACGTTATAAGCTTAATCAATACAAATAGTTAATAAGGAATTGGCTAAATGAGAAGTGTTTTGCATTGCTAAGATATTTTCTAGCAAAATATATTAATAAGGAACAATCTGAGCAAGTAATTAATACTATAATGATTTTATTCTATAAGGAATAACTTATCAGACAGTCTCCATTAGTATCGAGTTGTGTGATGGATTCCATTAGGTTTTCCATTTCGTCTCATAATCTATACAATGGAAGGGGATGAATAATTAACTTACTAATAAGTTGACATTAATTTTATATATAGTAACGTCTTAGTAATTAAATCGATTAGCAACCCTCAATGCACGGATATAGGACAGCCACAATATAAAATTTTTCTGTCAATTATTCTAGTGGTTAAGAAGAATTGATCGCAGAAGAAATCAGTACCTTACTTTCATCAATTAACATTAAATCCCTTTCTCTTGCTGTCATTATTTCATCCAATCCGACCTACTGAAGTGGACAAAGTCTTTTCCCCATCGGTTTAATATCAAATCCTTTCCTATCCTGATATCATTTTATTTAATTAAGTCTACTTGGGTCATAACTTTCTATTACCAGTCATTGCTCTATTCTATCCTATTTTGACATTATTTTCTATTTAGTTCAATCTATTTAGGTTTTCAATACATTCCTATCACGAGTCAATGTGCAAATTTTCTTTCCATTCTAATAGCATTCTAATTATTAAATTTCCTATTGCGATTGCTACCTTATTTTTATCTGATAATATCGAATCCCTTTTCTATTTGACATCATTTTTCCAATGAAATCTATTTGGGTTTTTGACACCTTTAAAGCATCAGTCATTGCAAATTCTCTTTCTGTCTTGATATAATTTATCCAATTAAATCTATTTGGTTTTTAGTACCTTGAAATCATCAGTTAACGTCAAATTCCCTTTCCATCCCGATACCGTTCTAACGATTAAAACTTTCATGCGATTAATATTTGCTATTGTCAGTTAATCACTTTCTATTTTGACATCATCTTTGTCCATTTAGGTCTATTTATTTCTTGAAAACATTCTAACCATTAAATTTTCTAAAGCGATTGCTACCTACCAATTCTGACCAAACTCTTTCTATTTTGACACTATTTTATCCTGTCAGGTCTATTTCTATAGAACGCTATTAATAATCAATATCAGACACTAGTGTTCTGCATTTGCAGTTTTCTACCCACACATCCACCATCTTATCCAGTCAGATCTTCTTGATGATTAAATATACAGACATCCATTATCTTACTAGTCAGATCTTCTTAGATCATTGAATACCTTTGCTATCATCAGCTATATCCATCCCGTCAAATCTTTCAAGGTTATTGATACCTTACTAGGATCGGATAATGTCCAATGTTAATATCACCCATCTGGTCAAAACTACATTGGTTTCGATATCTTGCTATCATCAGTCAGGTCAAAGCTTTTTCTTTCCAGACTTATGTCTGATAATTTGATCCAACCAAGGCTTTCAAGACTATTGATACTTTCCGAGTTACTCAATCGATAGAGTAACTACCAGGTTACATTATATTTAAAACTCTACTACCCAATTTAAATTAGTTTTTGTCTTAATCGATAATATTCAAACCCTATTGTATTTCATCAAAAGATAAATTTAAATTACTACCACCAGTTAATTTAAATATTTATCCAATAACCTTTATTGATTTATCATATTATAACGCTCATTGATCCAATCATCAAGTCCATTTAAATCATCACCAGTTACTGGTAGCATTTAAAATTCTATATTAATTATTTCAGGTGTATATTAATAGACAAAACGTAGGATAAAAGAATAATTTAGCTGTGATTTTTTTATCCCCCCTTAATAACAAGCTCTATCTTGGAATAATTAGTTTACCATTTATTAATAGAGTTCTATGCTATGAAAAGGAGATTATTTTCAACTCTTGTCGATGAATTTAAAAAATTTTAACTATCGCCGTTTGATTAATTTGAGATTCTAAATAAAACTATTGCATGATTGTCATTAGTGTAGCGGCGCCATCATGCCTGGAGAAAGAGAAGATGTTATACCACGTAGTGAATATCTACGTGTTAAAGAACGTCTTCGACGTAGCGAATCGGAGAAGATGGGTCTCATGATGGATCATTCAAATTTAATGCAAGATATGGATCTTAAATGTTCTCAGCAATTACAAGAAATTCAACGATTGCGACAAACCAATGAAAGATTACAGGATGAAAATGAGGAATTGTTAAGTTTATTGAATGCCCAACCGGAAGAAAATGGCCATCAACAAAATCATCATTCTAATTCACAATCCAATCAGCAAGATAGTGAGCAATATGCCAACCGCTTGGCTAGCCAGGAAGATAAGATTGACGAGCTCATCAATGAAAATCGAATACTAAAAGAAATATGTACCTACTTAGATAATCGTCATCAATCTAACTTATCCAGCTATCCTCCTTTATCTCAAGCAAGTCTTGATTTAGCTAATTCATTAGATTTAACATCAATTCCTAAGCGCCATCCTAGTCAAGACAACCATAGTCCATCTCATATCAATTATCCATTGCCGACGCCATCGAGCTCAATCCAAGTGTCCCATCTTGATCCTCCTCCTCCCTCATCTTCTTCATCATCTTCGTCACAAGAATCAAATGATTCATATGATCAAACCGCTAGTGTACCAACAACAAATCATGCCGGTAAGTTTATTCCTTTACTATTTTAATCTTTCAATCAGATTTTTAGCCATTTTTGATCAATATTTATACCATTATATTCAATAAAATTGAGCCAATTCTGTAAGTATATCTTATTTGATGACAAGCCGAAATCATGTAACAAAAGAAACCTGCTATTTCGGCACTATCCAGTTCTTGTAAATATTCCCACTACTGTATGCAATTTATATTGACATTAAATAGGAATGAACGGTTCTATTAATAACTACTCGTCTGCTAGTCTAGAACAAATCAATCCATTTTTATAGTATAGATTTACCACTATATAATTCTGTAGAGGCTAAACTATAATTCCACGATTTCTGCCCTAACTTTGCAGCTGTTATTAAAACATAAATCTTTCCATCATTTCGATAACACAGTAAAATTTAATAATCATAAAAATATATTCCTCTTGACTCAAATTTTACTAAATTATTATATTAGGGTGCTTTTGACAATAATAGTATAGGAAAATTAGTCCTTAGACTACTTATTTCAAACTATTCGCATTCATAGAAGAGATGATCATGTGGTATGATTGATTTGATATACTGATTGATACGATGATCATTATTAACGCTGTTCACATGCGAAATAGGATAGAATGAAAGAAAAATCATCACTGTTAATCACATGGTCATTATTAAAAAAATTAGCATAGTTTTCACTTACTCCCACTGCTACTATAATAAATTAGATATAAGATCAAAATTATAGCAATAGAATTAGGTTAAACAGGAGGTTTTTATATATGCGATTAAAGGCAGAAAGTCTACTGTCCATATAACCCGCTACCGGCGTACCGCTTTGCCTTATTGATGTCCGAGTACCGACGAAAAGGCTTGTTAATCGTCATGAACATATATTGTTTAATTTTAAGTTAATAGCTTTGATCTAAACCGAAGAATGGCTAGCGATATTGATATTGAATTCATCAATATTGCAAGATCAATAGTTAATTTAACAAAACATCAATAGCCACATGGCAGCGAACTAGGTTGCCTTGGATCGATGCCAGAAAGGATTGTTCTAAAAACCTTGTTTAGCACTTACTTCAGTTTTCGTTCAGTCGTTTGTCGTAGTTAAGCAATATCATAAAAAATATTCAACTTTACGCTATTATTTAACAATGATCTTAAGGAAAAATCTTAATTTCATGGGACTATGTCATAATGGGTTAGTGTTTAAATTATTCAAGAATATACTAAATGCTGGTAGGCGACGCTAATAGCGGATTCATAAAGATTAATGTTTCTGGTTCCTTTTCATTAATTACAGCATTCAGCATAGACGATCGTATATAATAATGAACACTACAAGAGTCGTAAGCCTTAGAGTCATACAATCTATAAAATGAACTTTAAAATTTTCTTAATCAAAATCAACCTCCATTAGTATTATAACTAGTGAGATAGTTGACAATAGATGGAGAGAGAATACTAGTTGCTTTTCTAGTAAAAAAACTTGTTGCACTAGTGCATGCAATTTATTCCTATTTTAGCCAGCTATTTGTTATCGAAATCTATTTGTCCTGTATTTTTTCATCTTTAAGAAACTTCAAACCGTTTAAAATTATTCATGTGATTGATAAGAGTAGCTTTATATTTAAAAAAACGCATCGATATATCGTAGATTTTTATCTAAGAATATTCTCTAGATATTCTAAGCCTGATTGTAATGAAGATCCTTAACTTCGACCATTCGATAGGCAATTTACAATTTACTAACATTATTGAGATACGTAAAGGATCTAATACTTAATCATTTAATTTTTAATACTTCATATAAATCATATTCAAATTTTGGAGATGCGAAATGAAGCAATCGAATAAAATTGTAGAGTTTGTATTTTGTAAATTTCTGCTGATAGTAAAAATCATCTAAAGAGCCGGTACCTAGTCATGACTATTCCTTTGAAATAGGAATTATATCTATATTTCGTAGTTGGGATAATCAAAAGTGAGTGGAGTGATAAATTCAGTCCGATATTACTGAAATACTACATAGTGGAAACATGGTTGTATTATTGTATACCATGTTATTGGAATTAACAATTACTATACATATTCTACATACCGCATTTCGACATATGATAAAAGTAAGCTTTCTGGATCAACATTTATTCACGAGCGCCCCATAATTATATTTGCATCGTAAAATTAGAATAATAAATTACTAATAGGGTGTTAAAATTAAGTCCAATAGTGCAATCATTGCCCTCTTATTAAGGTGTATAAAAGAATTATATTATAATACTTTTAACTGCCTTAGTGAGCAATAATTTAAATCTTATACCTCCAAATAGCGAACTACAAATAATACAATTTAGCTTAAAAACATTTGCTTCGTTAATAGATTATATCACAATAATGTAAAAATAGGTCGTAGAATAAAATAATACTATAGATCGTCGACTGCAAGTTTTAGATGCAACTTAAACTCTGAATTAGTTTAAATTACATTATTTTTCCGAGGATTTATAAAATTGTTGTATAATATGGTTTTATAAAGCACCATAAGTGATAAATAATTTTATAACTGTTGATAGGTTATAGTCCAGATTTCATGAACGAACTGAAACATCGGATATCTAGCTTGAAACACGACGATGATGATGCAGAATCAGTAAGAACCGAGGTAATCTTTTATTTCTAATAATAGATATTTTCATTATTATGTAAAGGTAAAACAGATGTAGTCTGTCATTAAGTTTATATAAATACTTTCAATTGATTCGTAACATAGTAAGCTTATTAGTTTTACTATATATTACAGACATTTGTATTCAAAACTTTATCTTGCAATTTAATGAATTGTACTAATTAGCTTATTTTTATATCTTTATTTTCTCTTTGGCTAAATTTTACCTTAAAAGCAGTCTACCAATAGCCGAAGAAGGAAAAAAGTTTCTTTCAAGTTGACAGTAAGTCTATCATTCACAACGCCTAAAGCAACGTAGTTACGGCTGTGATTATTTTAATGATCATTGAATATTTCGGTAACCATATTCACGTATATGAAATTTTATTGATATTATTCTATCATTGCTGTTATTTTTTAATCTCATTAAGAAGGATGATGAATTGCCAAGAATTAGAACAAGTAATGTTAAAAATGGAGCCGATGATGTATTCGCTAACCCGCTACCACCACCGCGGTTACGAAAATCTTTTAGCAATGGTAGTAACGTTATTTTTATCAGATACGGCGTAAAATTTTACTTAAATCTGCAGTTGATGCAATAAGCTCAACTCAATTATCATTAGATCGTCCTTCTGCACTATAAATTAAACTCGAAAGGATATTAACTTATCGATTCCACTTACGCAGTTGAAAGTGCACCTAGATCAGGAATTTTAAGAAAGTCAACGTCCCTAGGCTCGAATGAAGGATATTTAAACAGTCGAAGCTTGACACCGTCACCCAATTTGGCTTCGAATAATTCAAGTATCGAGAATATTCCTACACCGGTGGTGGCAAGAATGGTAAATGATATTAAAATGAAACTCTGTATAAATTCATATAAGTGATGCTTTATCATTCTAATTATAAATCATAAATTAAAGTATTATAACTTCTATGGTATATTTTATTGCAGAATGTTATACCTAGAATGCTGCCTAAGCCGACAATTGTAAATGGAACCAGTATAAATACTCAAGCTAGCTCTTACTATGCCAATAATAATGGTAACTATGGTACTGATCTGTAGGACTTAATCGAATTGAATTAGATTTTCTAGCAAACGCTTAACAAGGTGGGCTATTTAGGTTTTATATTAAATTCAGATTAATTAAGGAATAGATCTTAGCATTAATGAGATTTTTACTATACAATACGGTATGATGACTACTACAAGAACTCAGTTTCACTAACATAAATTATTTCAGTTAAAGTATTTCCAATCACATCACAAGAAACAACCTGATGAATAGAAAAACTACGTATTTAATTGATTTGCTTCTCTATTTACTATGAATAGATCGATTAATTATAGAACAATCAAAAAATAATTTCAAGGCTGTAACCCGTGTCAAGCGTCGTCCATATTTTTATTCAAGGATAAATAAATTATAATTCGTTTATAGGAAATAAAAAAATAATTGTGATAGACCGCATTACGGTGGCTGACTTAAATAAATAATGTTCAGTTTCCTTATCTAGTATCTTGCTTAATATTTTATGATTAGCATAGGTATTTGTTAACTATAACTTATAAATCTGCTATTTTATTCATCTTAAACCAATAATATGTAATAATAGTAGGTGATTTATTCTTTTATTGGTATGGTAAAAAAATCTCGCCATGTTTTGAATAAGCTCTATTGTATCATACCAGTAATCATTACAGATATGGAAAGTAATATTAAATTTGATACCATTCTCATATCCATGATTAGAATCAGTGTTGTTTTCTAAGATTAGTGGTATACCACCTGTAATATATTTCGTACTTGCCTAGACTGTTTCTTATTATTTATACGCTATATATGTGCATATGTATGTTTGTATATATGTATGTATGTATATGTGTATGCATGTATGTATGTATGTACGTACAGCATAGAATTAATCTATACTACTAAAGAACTAAAAGTCATTTTTTATTATTAAAACTGTTCATATAACAGTCTGGTTCACCATCGAAGGAACCGGCTTATTCATGATTCATTCTCTACTTAACTTTATCACCGTAGAAGTGCAAATCTTTTTTATATTATTGTTGCTATTCTTAACTAATCAAGTAAATCATAATACTATCCGCATACTTATTTACTCAAGTTGTCTAACAATATTACTTTCAATGTGTTAATACGTTTTACTGACTGAACCAAGCTTGCCAAGGTAGAATTTAAAAAATACAAAAATTAGGAACATAATATCTCACTGTAGGACTATCGTACATATAGCTATAGTACACTGATGCTCAGATATCCGCAAGTAAAGTTGGTAAACTCTATTAAATTGGTAGCACAGCAATGAGTATTCTGAAATAGTATACTCAGTAAAGTCAACAAATATGCGTAGTATCACGAGTAGAGGAAGGTTCTACGCATATGAAGATATGCTGAGTAATCGCCCATATTGTCAACTGATAGAGCTGAATTGTTTTGCCTTGCATATGAATGCTTGCTGAATCTGGTATTTGGATGTATTGCATTCTTATGTATTAACAAGCATATAAGCATATATATACGCGTATTTAGTACTATGTACAATTATACAAATTGTTCCTTTGAATATTATCTCGTGAAACTAATACCGCATTTATTAACTACTATTGACAATATTACATAATAATAGAGATTCTGTCTGTTAAAGCATGAAGTACAGTGGTTAGTTTCAGTTTGGACGATTCCATTTGAGGAAAATTCTTATTATGTTGGTGCAATTGTTTTAAAGTATGTTTAACAACTTGGTGCTACATAACAGCTTTGTAAATTAGTCTGACAATTTCATAGCATATTCACGGGCAAGGAATTTGTTCTTAATTTCGTTGTACTATATTGAATCTTATTTACTTTCGCTTGCTTTCATCTTGATTGTGGTAAAAGTCGAACTATATATAATGAATTTCTTATGAGAAATTTCATTACTAGATTCATACTGTATTTATATATTACAATTTAGTTTACTTCGATTGCATTAAGCCACTCTTAGCTTCATTTGATTACATAGTGATTACTGTACAGTATAGTATTAATGTATCTAATGATATTGAAACACATTTAACTAATACATGTACTATACTTGTTAAATATGAAATTTCATTGTTAACTATCGTTATGCATACTACGTCAATCATTAAAACAAGAGTCAATTTTTTCCATTGGATTTCATTTTATCGACGGTATATGTGGGTATGTCTAGTGATCATAGAGTTCTAGTATGATTCTACTGTGTCGCTAATTATATTATATTTTATTTTATGCTCGTGATCGACATTTTGGGTGCTTCACGTAATTCAGTTTTTATATTTCCGATATTTTTTATAATGATAGCTTACGATTTCCATGCTACAACGTTATTTCTGCTGAAGTACCTTCTCTTATTATCTATGATTATATCTAGATTGCAATTTCGTAGAGTAAAATGTATATTTTGGTAGACCATGTCTCAGTTTGAAATTGGGCGGGTCAAAAACATTGATGTACTATTGCGTAAGGGAATTTAATGATTAAAAATATAGAAAGAGTGATATAATGAAAACGTGAATCAACTATACATTTTTCATCACATTTCCAACATTAAAGTAGTCTAATATAGCTGTGTCAATGCATAGTTCTCATTGTAGACTTAATATCAATATATTTAAACATTTTGGTTCGAATTAGATTTATTTAGATAATCTTTTATTGCAATCTGTACAACATGTAACAAATGAAATTTCAATTATGCAACAAACTTTATCTTAAATAAATGATATACTTTTACTAGCCAATAGTACTGTTGTGCATCTTTGTCTTATATCGTAGTATTTCTTGACAAGGGACTTTTAAACAGACCGTACATTAAATTCTCCGTCAATATTTTAGTATTCCAACTTTGATAGATCACGATAGAATTTCGTATACATAAATACTCATCAACGAATACTAATCGGTTACCAAATTTAAAAAAAAAATCCTAAAACGTATTAATTAACCCATCCAGTTTTGAAAAGAACCAGAATTACTAGGTCTCATGTTAGAGTTCATCGGTGGTGGCTGAAATGAATGATTAACAGGTAAATTAGTTCCAGTGCCTGGCTGTTGTGGAAATTGCGGTATTGCGGCGATGTTGCCCCAATTTTGCATTGAGTTAGTGGGATTGGCGCTCATTACTCCAATACCTGGTTGTACCTCAGTAAGATTATTGATTGGAGGGACTAACATTGTCATAGGAAGTGGCAGGGGGGGCTGAATGACAGATTGATTTAACATTCCTAATCTAGCTGCAGCATCAGGAGGCATAACAGGTATTGGACCAACAGTCGAAGCAGTGTTTGGCATCACGCTAGGCAGGGGAGGATTACTTGACGGTATCATCATAGGAAGTGGCGGCGGTACAGCAGAAACAACTCCAGCAGGTGGGGGAGCTCGAATACTTTGAGTATTGTCAAATAGGATTGGTGCCATCGATGCTGCAGTTTGATTTGATTGAAGTGATGATACTGATGTTGAAGTTGGTACTTGACGGACTTGGCCGGATGATCCTGTCGTAACTATGGGCTGGCGTGTTGGCGTATGCATCACAGTTGATCCTAATAATCAACGTTATCAATTATAAAATAGCATTTATTAGTATTAATGTTCTGATATTATACTACTGTACTATATATGTCAGTACAATACAGTTTGTCTGCTGTATACCTATTGATGGGTTATTTATTATTGAAGAGTTATTCTGTATTGGCGGCTTAGAAGGTTCTTGTATTTTTGGAGCAGTGCTATTATATGATGCTGATGTTATCATAAAGGTAGATATAGTTAGTAACTTTTTATTTACGTTAAATAGATTAACCTAGAAATGACTTTATCCGCTAATGACAATCATGCAATTAGTGATGTCGTACATTTTAGTCTTCGTGCATTTTCCCAGTCCTAAAATGAATTGGTAGTTAGAGATAATATAGTATTGAATAGAAAAATTTATAAAGTTCTGTACGGAATGGATTGAGGTACCTTCATTGTTATTTTAGGAGGAGAAATCATATTATAGTTGGATGCACCGACGTCGGTTTTATCGTAAAAATCCAGCATTTGCAGACAGATATCTTGCAGTAATAGAAAAGATATATAAAGATCATACCTTGAGCACAATCAAATGCAATACAATAAAGCTATCGCAATTAAGGGTTTAGAATTACCTTCCAAAACGTCACTGTTAATTTCTGGTAGAAAATGTTGCCACCACGATTTTGAATGATCGTAATGTGGGCCGTCCGGGGCGGCACTAAGGTTATATTTGGATAATTTTGCTGCTAAATGTAACAACGACACCGCAACTACCTGAGGTTTCCATTGCAAGCATAACGTGGTACTGAGACTGATGAATTGTAGACAGATAATGATGAAATATTGGTGGTTAGCCATTGATCGCATTTATTCCAAGCGAAACATACCACAATAGATATTTTTACCTGTCATTTACAAAATTCCATGCCATTTGGACTACCTTTTCAATTTGTGCTCGATCATCTTTTAAATTTTTGGCAAATTTAACAATATATTTATAGGGGTGTTGAACACATAAGTCAAATTTAATGGTTTGTAAAAGTAATCTTTCATGGCTGATAATCTCCTCCTAAATAAATAAAAAAATTAAGTAAAATAGAACAATCTTATTTGATCAGGCGTCATCGTCATCATCGTGGCAATATTTTACAACGTACAGTATATGAGTATAAGGTATTTTTTCTTGGTTAAATTTTAATAAATGATTCAGTTAGTTTAATTGCTGACTATAATTCTCTTATTGATTAATTGTTGGTGATTGACGAGGTTTAATGAAGAAAATTACAACCTTTGGATCATCACCAAATGCTTCCATTTGGCGTTCAGATAATATAGTCCGTACAGCTTTGACTAAGTCCCTGCATTTCTTAGGAGTTTCCTCCGCTTTACCTGCTAAATATAGGCATGCCGCAGCGCCAATCTGTAAATCAATTATAAGAAAAGATTAGAAATAAAAATAATTTTGTTGAATTCAAACAGCGAGAAATATTTCAGCATTGATTTAATAATGGCATGATTGAGTTAGCAGCAGTAATAGTTTCTTCTTATTACTGTGCAAGATAAAACTTTGGTTGCATGAAAGCATTAGAGACTTACTAATCTATTGATTGTCTTGAAAGAATGCATCATATAAAATCGATGATAAAATACGATTCCAGTAGCTACTGTTTCGTATCGCCTACAATTTGAGTTAGTGAGGAATTAAGGAAGCTATATTTTTCAATCTTCATTTGAAATTACATGACATTAGGTACTGAATGAAGCACATATGCGTTCACCACTATCAATTATCACAGACTCGACAGGGCCTAGAATCCTATTTGATATTAGATGAATTCCATCTATTAACATTAAGCTATGACGATTCTACAGTACGCAGAAGACACGATTTATTACGCTATTGCTTGATTGTTACGGTCAATCCTCGGAATGATAATATAATAGCAAGGCAATAGGTTGCCGGTATCTATTGGCCACTTTAGCATAATTCTTCTAGCCGTTCCAACTATCAGCCATACTCGCATACTATAAATAGAGAAGTACTTGGGTATTTTTCTCAAGTCTAATACTATCTATAACTACAAATAATTTCTCTCCAGCGATTACGATCACTGACTGTATTGTACTCTACTGGATGCTTTTGGATTTTGATGTTGACAGAAAGTATCCAAATATGCTGGATGCATGATCCAGTATTTTTCTTCACGTTGATACAAAATGATTGCCAATACAGTAGTAGGAACACAGTGTACATTATAGACTTGTAGACTACGTCATATAATCGCGATAAGATCTATTTTGTGGTTAATGTATAACATGCAGTTATCCAGTTTAGATTGTTTTGTAATACTAAGGCTAGAATAGAAAACTTATTAGAATCTCTTCTCATGGACAAGTGGATAATTTAGGCTGTCATTGTCAAGGATACAAGTTCATCCTGTTGCCAACATCCATGATGAATCGGGCACCTTCACGTCTGTAGCGACATTCAGCAGTTATTTCGATACCATCACTCCTTGATGGGCTATTAACAATTTCATTGCTACAAAAGTACCAAGACGACATGACGATTATTTCAATTTGTTTCTTTTACATTCTAACTCTTGACGACTTGCTAAAAAAAGTAGAAGGTAAAGCCATTTCTTTTCTTTCAACGCAGTACGACAGACTGAACCCAGGACGCTAATCCTGTTGCAGTTAGTACCGTTCCGCCAGATCGCCACAGTACATTGTACTACGAGCTACAGTCTCCGTACTGTATGTATGTACTGTAAAGGTCCAGACCAGCCAGAAGATCTCTCTACGCATGACATGCTACAGTGTTGTAGTATGTACTATAGAGTGTCCCAAGTATGCCTTGGTGCCTTGTATAAATACTCTTCAGGATTGTGTCAATCGTTTACTGTATAGTACAAAGTCAGTGTAAAAAAAATGCCATACTGTACTCAGTATACTGTACCATATAGTATACTATCTATACAGATACAGTATGTCGTAAGTATTGACTGTCGATAACTATACCTGAAAAACAAGTCTAGTGACTGTCTCTCGCTGGATTCTATAATACCACTATGCAACTCATTGGCATGTGACTTCTCTACTTGGCTGTGTATGGCTTGCATAGTGGTGCATGATACCTTTCGATCAAAACAACCCAAGTATCCTTCGTTTCCATATTCTTTCTGTGTTGATCTAAAAATGGCGGCAAAGGCTGAAATGAGCGACGATGAAGGGGTTATTTCAATCCGTGAAGCTATCCAAGCGGAAGAAATTTTAGAGGAAGAGACTGCAGCCGTATTAGGTGATGTTGACGACAATAACTGCACATATTCCAAGGTAAATGTACGTTATTGCATAGAATACGTAGAGACAGATTGTATGGTATTCGTTTGCATAGCTGTAGTCTACAGTATTCTTTTAGCCAGTCGACCTATTATGAATTAAACCTGGAGAATTTTTATGAATTCTATTGGATTTTATCATCTTTCGATTAGACATATAGATATGTTATACACTACAAACTATTTTTTCCATTTTGTAGCATGTTGGATTTTATCATCTTTCGATTAGACATATAGATATGTTATACACAACAAACTATTCTTTCCATTTGTAGCAGTTTTGGATAGCCGTTGTCTACTGTTTAGTTAGTCTTTTAGCCAGTCGACCTATTATGAATTATACATGGAGAATTTTCATAGATTCTATTGGATTTTATCATCTTTCCATTAGATATACTGTAGATATGTTATACACTACAAACTAACTATTCTTTTCCATTTTGTAGCTTATTGGATTTTATCATATTTCGATTAGACATAGATATGTTGTTATATACTACAAACTAACTATTCTTTCCATGTTATAGCTTATTGGATATGATCATATTTCGATTACACATAGATATGTTATACACTACAAACTATTCTTTCCATGTTGTAGCTTATTGGATTTGATCATCTTTCGATTAGACACACTGTAGATATGTTATACATGACAAACTAACTATTCTTTCCATTTTGTAGCAGATTGGATTTTATCATATTTCGATTACACATAGATATGTTATACACTACAAACTATTCTTTCCATCTTGTAGCTTATTGGATTTATCATATTTCGATTACACATAGATATGTTATACACTACAAACTCTATACATGGTATACGTTCTTGATCAGTCCTTTTTATACAGCGTACAGCATTCGACGTTATATCATTTTACTTTACTGTATCTCCGAAATACTGTGCATACGAGTAAGTACTGTACTGTACTGCACTGTAGTAAATGGTAATGCAACCATCGAGTTGAATATTATTATTTATGTTATATCTATAGTGTTAGCTAATTACAGATCAGCCATATTTTGACGTGGCTTATAAATTCATTTTACTAACGTACTTCCAACACCTGCAATTTTTTCAACTATTCTATCAACGTAGGGCTATGTGAAACGTCAGCCACTATATGCTTGCTATACCTGTACTGCGAATAAAGGTATTCTGGCAGGAGTTTGCTATGCTTGCAGCATTCATTGCCATGATGGTCATATCCTTTACGAATTGTATACCAAAAGGTCAGTAATACAACTTGTATTTAATTTACAATATTTATGCAAGTGTACCATAGGAATCAATACTTTACTCTTTATGTTAGAAACGAGCTAAATTATACAGCACCTGTTAGCCATGCATGCGTATAGACTACTGTCAACTACCTGTTAACTGTTGTTCTTGTCATAGTGAAAGAGAAATTTAAATGGTTGATTAATTCGATCTCTTAACCTATTTGTAATTGTATATAGAAATTTTCGATGTGACTGTGGAAACGATCTCTTTTCAAGTACTCAGTGCACACTAGATCAAGTAAGCAAGATACTACTGTATCGATAGCGATTATAATTAACAGCCCGAAAAATATTTCTCTCCCTTGATGTGTATAGCTGGTTCGTATTTGTATAATTAATCATACAGCAAAATCCATATCTCGATGAGTATACACCATGCATACAGTCACCTTATAGCGCATTTTAAAATACAATCAACAATTAGTATCCTTTATGTTGTAATCTTACATGAAAATGTATGGTCTTACCAGCCTCACATATTGAATGGGTTCGCTACACTAATTGACTGTTGGTAATGATGTAAATGCCGTATTTTATTATTAATTGTATCACTGTAAGCTTTATTACCCTGTAACAATCTTGCTGGAGAAAGTTATTGTCATGTGGTAAAGAGAATTCTATCAAGCTCGTTAAAGTATTGCTATATTGTAAAGGATAGTAAAGTATCCTTTTAGAATATACGATAAGATTGAGGCCTTTATACAGTACTTGCTTAGTTTATCGAAAAGTAGCTGAGACCTAGCTGAATCAAAATACAATATTTTACTTTGTTTGCCATTTTAAAACCATCGTACTGAAAGCTACTGATAGAAATAGGAAATATCTACACTATGTTTCCTTGACAAAGAATACAGAGCACCGAGATTATTAATAAGTTTTATCAGCAATATTGAGTTCTTGTGAGAATCTTTGACCGTAAACTCGCTGTCAAGCGTGCAATCTAATATAACATTGCACTTATTTGCTCAATTATAATTAGTTTTGGACTGAGCAATGCTATACTTAACGTTTCTTTATAGAAAAAAGATAAATTGAACCTTAAAAATACTTACAATCAGAACTATAAAGGCTTATATTGCGTTTGCAACAGACCTTACCCAGATGAGGAATGTCCGGTAAGATTCAGCAGTCTTAATGAAATTTATCATTCATTGCGTAGAAATGTATTTATCAGTAAGTGTTAATGTTCTCACTGAACTTATTTCTTATTTAGGAAGAAAATCAGGATCAAATGATACAGTGCAATATTTGTGAGGATTGGTTCCATGCGACGGTAAATTACGTTCATAACCAATAATAGCACTATAAATGATGGTTAAATCATAGATCCGAGTAACATGTGCGTGTCATTTCATACTTGAGTATGCTTACATTAGCCTGATAGTCAGTAATTCTATATCTCTTACTGTGAAATATCTCGTGTTTATTTCTTGGACGTGAAATGAAGCTTGATTAGGCTGTAGTAATTATTAATAACGCTTGCCTCTTTAAAATTGAACGTGTACATTGAATTTAATTTCAGAATACTAAATTATAATTTTTAATAATAAAGCATTTAGGAAAATGTCTACCAGACAATGACCGATTCACAGAGATGACCTGCGACTCATGTGTCCGCAAGCATTCATTTTTATCCATTTATTCCCCAATAGTAGACGGTAAATATTGATTAAGGATGTACTGTAATTATGACCTATTCCAGAAAAAGTTGTATATTTGTGAGTAATGGTTGTTTGGTTAGGATGATGTCGTTGCACGTATTCGGTAATAATGCTATCTTCTATGGTATGCCATTACTACATTGTCCGCCTTTTTCGTTTCTTCTTCTTCAATAGTTACTTATGATAGTAAGGTAGATGTGGAAAGTTTGCCGACTGATTTGGTTACGTCAAATAAGTCAGTTGATAAGGATGAACCTAAGCTTAGCGTTAGTAATACTTCAATTTCCTGTGCTGAGGAAAAAGAAGGTGCGACCATTGATTTAATTAATAATGATGGCGCAATTGCAAGGAAAAGAAAAGCAAGTGATGATCTTTGTACTGATTCAAACGTAAAGAAAGATGCCATAGATACTTGCAAGCTGAAACGATTGCAAGAAAAATATAAAGATATTAAATGTGACATTTCAGTGATGTACTTCCGCGATAACTGGCGATCAGAGTTGTGCACATGTGGAGATTGTAAGGTTAGATAAGTGATCAAATATTTACTTACTGTAATTTTTATTTTATAATATAGCAGTAGCTGCTTAATGACATTGTTCATACACAGCAATTCGTATTTACCTTTGCTTCCATTTTGTTGAATTAGTGTCTATATAAGTCACATGCTGTAGAATTTCTACTGGATCCTGAAGATAGTATCCATGTGTACGAAGAGCGCAGCAAAGCTAAATACGAATGTCAGCGACATGCTGGTATAAATGAACTGGATACTCGAATAGACAATTTGTCATATGATCAGAAATGTCACCTGGCTTACGGTGAGACGCTTTGGATTTGATCAGTGTCTGTAAGGTTTATGTTTATAACGACTGATGTACTCTTTGTCTGCACACTAGGAATCAACGATTTTAAGAATAACTTAACAGAATTTTTGAAAGATCTCGCATCGAAGAATAAGGTAGACTTTTATGATAGTGCTTGGTATCTAATGTATTCCTGGTTAAAGTGATATTAATATCCTGGTTTGACTGTTGTAGGTTGTTGAACCAGGTGATATTCAGGATTTTTTCAACATGCAGGAAGAAAAACGAAAAAAATTGCGAACGACCCTTCTTAGATGATTGTGATAGACTTTTTGTGGTGTGATTAACCTTTATCGATATTACACGAGCATCATCTTTTGTCGAGGAAAATCAATATTTAAAAGAGCATAGTATGCATGAGTGAGGACGTCAATGTTTAGAAGGAATTTACATATATCAAAATTGCGCATTAGACTACGGCAACGTAGCGTAATTATTCAGAGAATAATAAATTTATATATTAAAGATCTAATCTTATCAGTAATGAATTAATTAATTAATTACGAACTATTTTATTATAACAGAGGCAATGTGTAACAGTTTGTATAGCTTGAAGTAATGTATGCATCAGCTACTATTCACCCCACTGTAATAATAATTCATTGATTGCTTGATCAGGTAATGATTGCGAATTTTAGCGCATTAAAAAAATTATTAGCACGTAATAAATAAGTTTATTGAGACTGTATGTATACATTAATGCACTACTATTTAAAAAATAATATTACGTAATGGAAAATACGCCATTCTGCAAATAAAATTTTAATACTTTGCAGCATTTATATTGCAAGTCGTACAGTACATTCATTAGTAATTGTAGCCATTCCAAATCGAAGTAATTGAATATAATGCTACAAAGCATTTCGATGCTATACATGGGATTGATGGGATCAGCCATATTAGATACTATTATGATGCAAGAATAGCAAGACTTTTAGGGGCAATTGTATTTGTCATTATTGAGGTCTACCTTTGTAATTGAATTTTCATGACTTTGTTAAGAATTTCTTTAACGAAGAGATGTTTTCTTCGATATTAACAAGAGTTGTATGATCTATAACTAAATCAGCTGAAAGGTTTGATATACCCGCGTCGTATAAGTTAGTAGAGATATTAGATTCTTCCTGCTTCTTAACTTTATTTACAGTTAAGAAATTATCTTCAGCCAAGTATTCAGGTGATACTGATTCTAAGAATAAAATTCTATCTTCAAGGTGCTTTAAGCGTTTGTAAATATCACCAGGTACCGGATAATCTATTGAGAGTACATTAAGAGCATGAATGAGATTTCCTAAAATTTGGGTGTGATGTTTGAACCATGAATTTAAAACCTGGTTTAATGCCAAGGTAGTTTTCCATATTCATAAGTCTCTCTTCTATCCCAACTGGTAGATTAGAACGTGTTATAGGGTGGGCTGGATTCTCAGCTCTGGAATCTGCATTATTTTCTTTACTACACTGGTCCACATGAGGGTCTGTAGATTTTCTTTTTCGCATGGTATCCGTATCATCATAGGAAACTCTTGTTACTTGCATCGTAACATGATTTGATGGAATATTTGAGGGTATATTAGAGGTGAATTCTTTTAATTTTTATACTTATTTCACAGCACGAATATTATCAGGAGTTATCATCCATGCCAAAGTATTTAGTTATTATCGAATTACCGAATCAAGCTTAGAGGATCTTATCCTTACCTTTCACATGACTACTTTGTTGGTTCCTTTTAACAAACATTGCATGAGTTCGAGCAGATTTTCCTTCTAAAGAAAGAGTGCTTATTGATGTTAACAAGGCACGCATGTAATATGAATAATTACGTACAGTTTAAATACTCGTATTCTATACGGTGAGTTGTCATCCTTTTAGATGGGAATTGTTAGTAAAAAGTCACACATTTAAACTAGTCCAATTTCTAAAAGCGAAAGCTTTACCTTCAATAAGGACATTACTATTATCACTGATGGGATAAAACTCTCTTTTGTTGGTAATATTAGCATCAAGCTTCTTTCTTTCAATAAAAGCATTTATACGGCGACCGATCTGAATGTAATAAACAATAAACAATTCATTTATATTATAATTTGATTCTAATGTACACCCTCGATAATTGTAAGAATAGTAAAATGGACAAGCAGTAATTCTTCGGTTCTATATCAATGTTCTACGTATTCTAGTAATTTTTTCAGTACCTCACTTTTGTCGGCGATAATCTGTACAATGGAGGGATCGAGTTTTGGCGTTTTACCTTCAATTACATTGTAGGACAAATATCATTGTGATTACTTTTAGGCAGTTTAAGGAGCATAATATTATAATGAGTGTTATACATGTATGTGAAAGGATATTTACTTGCTGATTTTTTAATTGAACTTTCGCCTTGGTCTTGATTATGATTATCAGTCAATTTTTGATGGACTTCCTGATTACATAAATGCATAGGTATAAGTATTAAATTTTATTTCGAAAATTATGTCGTTGAAGGTGCCTTTTTACTACTGTATCAGATACGATTTAAAATCAACATTGCTTAAATCTTCAAAATAGAGACTTTATCATCAATCTGGTCTGCTACTGGTAGTATTCCAAGCATTGGAAACGTGCTTATTACTTTAGTACTAGCAAAGTGCTACTTGTGACACACATTTTGCGTAGATGTACTCTTACAGCATTGCACAGTAGTAGATTTATAGCAAGCAGTTAGTGGCACCCAGTTCATCATCCTCTGTTGCAGGAGTTTGTCAATACGTGCATTCAATATTTTTAAGTAATTACAACTAGGGACTTTTTTCGAGTAGTCCCAGCTACAACTTACACTAGTAATAGCTATTTAGTTGTATGCACGGCATTGTATGAGTACAGTAGTTCTAGAACTAGAATAGTTAAAATTATTGAACGAATTATTATTTCAATCTTTCAAACTGCAATGGAATCTTTAGATCATTACTTACAAGTCGTTTCCATATCTGGATTACGGCATGTAAATGCATAAACTATGAATAATTTGCTCTATAACTAACGAACTAACCTGTAGAGATAGTATTAAATTCTTTATTTCTTTAGCTAAATTTCGCTTCTCAGTTTGCGGACTGCAGCTTGTAGAGGCACTGGTGTCAGGACAGGTAGAGGTATCGCTGAATTGATTTGCAGTCTAAGGTAAAGTGTAAAGAATAATTACGATGCATAAATTAATAAATGCAATCATAAATTTATATACACATTGCTAAAGCATTTACAATCAGTTTATTATACGGATACATGAATACACAAATATTTATAGGCATAAGAAAGAAGTCATTTTAACTAGGCTATGATAGAAAGAAAATAGGAAACGTAATCCCGTATCTACTAAATTTGAGGACAAATCTTGATGTTCCATAGGCAATAACTAACCATGAATGAGCACAGGTAATCATTTTAAATATTATTATCATGTATGAGTTCTAAGGGCCGTATTGATTAGACTGTTTGTAGGTATGTCTAAATAATAAAGTATTATGATTTTGTTGAACTACCTTGTACTATTGATTTCTGACTAAGTTGCTTAGTGGCGTCATTAGAAAAGAGGAAACTGCTGTACAATTTACCACAATGACCAACTCCTACTTTGTTTGGTATGATGTCTAAAAATGCCTGCAATCATCCATTTTATGGGTATTGTGTTAAAGTTGTGATAATGTGTACAGTCTATAATGTACGAATGCTATTTTAGTTTGATCCTGCTTGCAAAATGATGAAGCAATTTGAACGTTGTCAAAGCAAAATGTAATCATCGTCGCGCAGAGGGAAGGAAAATGCAACCTAACTTGATTTAATACACCCTATAGCTCCATGTATCCATAGCCTCATAGTATCCTACTAACCCAACGATCGAGTTGTTGACTTATTATTTTTTTGCAGTCTTGCCGTAATAATTCTATTTCAGCCATGTTTTCATCCATTAATTTGAACCAAATGAATGACATTGAAGCTTGGTGATGGCCAAGCAATCCATCCAGGTTACTACTCGCTTTTCGGTAGCGCAACCGATACTGTGTCTTGTAAAATTTGGAAACAGTGTACACTCAGTACTGTACTATGAGAAATTGAGTCTTAATAGGAACATGGTACAGTGTCCAGTACTATACTGTACACGACTTGTAGAGTGTACAGTGTACAGTATAGCGTGTTACAATGCACTGTACACTGTACACACAGTACTGTACTGTACTGTGAAGTGAGAAATTGATTCTTGATAGCAACATGCTACTACAGTATAGTCAGCTCAATACTGATAGGACCCTTGTACAGTGTACAGTGTCGTACTGTACACGACTTGTAGAGTGTACAGTGTACAGTACAACCAGCTATAATGCACTGTAAACTGTACACTGTACTGTACTATGAAGTGAGAAATTGATTCTTGATAGCAACATGCTACTACAGTATAGTCAGCTCAATACTGATAGGAACATTGTACTGTACGGTGTAGAGTACAGTACTGTACACGACTTGTAGAGTGTACAGTGTACAATATAACCTGCTACAATGCACTATACACTGTAGACTGTACTGCACTGTGAATTGAGAAATTGATTCTTGATAGCAACATGCTACTACAGTATAGTCATCTCAATACTGATAGGAACATTGTACAGTGTACAGTATCGTATTGTAGACGACTTGTAGAGTGTACAGTGTACAGTACAGTATAGCCTGATATAATGCACTGTACATTGTACATTCAGTACTGTACTGTACTGTGAAGTGAGAAATTGATTCTTGACAACAACATGGTACTGTATACAGTATAGTCAGCTCAATACTGATAGGAACATTGTACAGTATACAGTAGTACTTTACTGTACAGTGTACACGACTCGTAGAGTGTACGTACAGTACAGTCTACAGTCTACAGTGTATAGTCTGCTACAATGCACTGTATGTACTATGAAGTGAGAAATTGATTCTTGATAGCAACATTGTATTGTACAGTACAGTACAGTACAGTCAGCTACAATAGTAACAATATTGTATTGTACTTATTTGTACGTGTACACTGAGTTACGTCACAGTTCTGCAAAAAAGGTTCACTTGACCGCCAAGGTGCGTGAAGAGGTACTGTACCACATAGCATTGCATTATTCTGCGCCCACGTACTGTCCTATCGAATCTCTAATAATGTGATAATAAAAGCCAACAATAGGATTAATTAAGAAAAACTCAACCTTTGTGCATTGATATTTGTTTATCAGAGCCCTATTATGTATTGTGTCACGATTTTTTGATGCGTAATCAGTTGAAAACTATAGAATAAACGGGGTAGGACAATGAAGTTCAGTACGGTACTGTACAGTGTACCAATCGCTTCAAACACTGCTAGTCTTTTACTACAAACTGTCGTCACTATGACGCTTGGATATCGTATTGTCACAGTACTTAAGACGCCATTGAATATCGCGTTTGTAATATTGAAAGCTCACGCCAATGTAGACGGGTTGTAAATGCTTGCAGGTCCTCATTTTTTGATATAGTATTTCTATCGAAATTGATTTACTGTACAACAGCTTTGCATGTAAGTAGCAATTGCAATGAAGCATTTATAAGTATGTAAAAGTACATTATTGTACAGTACTGTTACGTCCATCGAAATTGGCATGGCTGAGGGTCAGATGAGATCGACGCGTAAAATAGATTTTGGGGGCAAGATACAAGTCCAGTGTACACTGTACAGTATACTGTAGTACTGTATTACTGTACTGTACACTGTACAGTGGTGTTAGGGACTATCTAAAGACTAATACAGTACTGTACAGTACTATTAAAGTCTTCCAAGTCCCTGGTACAGTACAGTACTGTACTGTACAGTACACTACACGCTCGGTAGAAGAAAAAGTACTGTACGCTTTTCCTAAACCGTCTCGAATTGTACTGTACAGAGAGGGGGGGGGGGGGAAATAAATAAATAAGAAAAAAAAAATAAAATCTATAAAATATACAGTACAGTACAGTACTGTATACTGTATATAAAATAATAAACACTGTACGCTTATTAGAATAGAACAACGCACTGTACTTGCTGCTCTGTAAAACAACCAAGCCTAAATTGGAACGTTTTCATACGAGTGTTGTAGTACTGTACTTTATGTACAGTGTTCCCCGCTGACAGCCACATTATTATAGCCTAAGTTACTGGAAGTGCGTTTCCATTCGTTGCAAATTTTCTTGCCTTTCGCCGCACATCGCCGAAATTCGACCGAAAGAACAACTGCAGAAACTATTGACTCGTAGAATACGATTAAGATCTCATTTTTTTGGCCACTGCGCTTTTGCAAATCATGACGTAAAAATAGTACAATACTAATTAAGTACAAGTACACAACGCTACGCCTAAGACGCGAGTTGGTTACTGATTTTGTGTGATGCCTACTTTCAACAAGCCCTGATGGCAAATGATTTGATTTATTCATTTCCATATGGTACACGGTGATCTCAATTAATGCCTTAATTATTGTTAGCTTATAGCTCGATTGTTCACATTCTGGGAATTAGAAAGGTTTATTTTACAGCATTGGGTTTATCTTTCTATTCTTTGCCACTGAATCTACGGAATATCAACTGGAAATTGTTGTGGTTGTACCGTATCGTGGTGGCTCAACCTTGGTCGTTCTCATAACACACTTGCTACATACTGTATTATACTAGGCTGTGGTGTATCTTGCCTACTGTCTCGCTTACAAGACTGTATACTGTAGTGTGGAGAATACGCACTGTCGGCGTGGAGTGTACGCTACTGAGTACGTACCGACATTGTAAAAGTCGTCAAGCTTGACAACACTGTGAATGTCGAACGCATTGGTTGGCGTCGGTCATCGGCCATTCATTAGCATTGCTAGACGTAGAAAGACGACTAATTTGTTGCTAAATTAACTACTTTCAGAATTTTCCATCATAAAACTCAAGGCAGTAAGTCTTTGCTTGCATTAATAACTTAATCCCTCCCTAGAAGACCTGTTGTTGTACAAGTCTACACCAAGCGCCAAGAAAGACAGAAACTGGAAGTACGGTACTAGTCTTATAGTCCCCTAGTGTGATTGACGAAGACGTGCTGGCTCCAATAATTGACTTTGTTGGAGGGTGGAACCCTTTTTGGTTGGTCACTCGTGTACAAACAGTTAAGTATGAGTAGGACTATAATTACTGGCAACCTCAATCAACAACATATGGACAAGTTGATTGATGATGATAATAGCGTGCATGACGCTATTATTGATCCAACAGTGGCAACCAAGAACAGCGAACAGCTAGCGCAGTTAAATACAATTTCTCAAGAAAACTTGAATACTTCAACTGATCACAAATCACAATCTGGAGACAACGCTACAGAGTCAACGGATGACTCCGTCAATCAAAGAAGAACTCCGTTGTCAGAAGAAAGAAATTTAAAGAAAATTATTAGCTGCCCGCAAATTTTATACAGCTCTTACGACGATAACAAAACTGCGAACAAAACTATTTCCAACGATATAACAAATAACTCGACACCAAATAGCTGTAGTAACTCAGATAGTCATTCCGACGAATTAGCTACTGCAAACGTTGCATTAAATAAACAGAATATCGACAGAATACAGGAAGACAGTCTTAGCGACAATCAGACCATGAAAATGGTTCGTGAAGATCATCATTCGATGAGAGCTGGCGCTACTTCCTTGCCGTCGCTAACAAATGCTTCTCACATCACTAATGGTGATTCAAGCGATAACCGGTCATCCGTTTCGCTCGAGAATATCCTAAAAAAGACCAGCAAGTCGTCTAGGCAGTCTAGAAAACCACGTAGTATCAGTGTCGATTCTCTAACTCCTCCGCGGCATTTAAGCACGCCTCATAGTGAAACTTCAGATGACGATTTATCGGACGATTATGAAGAACAACGTAAGCCAAAAAAGGTATGTTCAAATTCTTGAACAGCTCGAGATTCAATCAAAAACAAATTCTTTAGCCTCATAATTACATTACAAATTATCTTTTGGTGTATGACTGTATAAAAGACCACAGTAAAAATTGACGACAGTATTGATGCGGGTAATAATGCAGGCCGTTGCACTAGATTGTATAGAACGTACCCCAACGGAGTCTCTCATTTTCAGTACACTTGCAAATTATTATTTCATTATATAATTAGTACTGTGCATTTAACAAGCGAGCTTTGTAAATAGTTTTTAAATTTGGAGTTCTAATACAAAAATATACAGTGATTTTGATGTCGATCAATCAAAATGCTACACGACGATCTTCCCCAATGGTTTAATCAGCCAGTATTGCTAACAAGAGAGGCATCAATCCAAGCAGAACTTTTTCAAATAATTTAGCAGAGAATTTTTTGGCGTTAATTATTTTTCGACAAGATACTATTATCTACTGGCCATATTGCATATACAATATCTTGTAGAATTGTACGTCACGATGTTGCACATTGTCCAAGTAAACGACGAATGCGACGTCGGTCGATCGCGCAGTTGTTTGCCACAACTTAGGTACTCTGTTTGGGATAAATTGGAAAGACCATCACCAGCGATAAGATCAATTTTTTTATTTTATTATATTTATTTTATTTTATTTACTATTCTATCCAGTCCAAGCGGTATGCAGCAATCAAGGCGTTTAATTCACCATTTAAAATTAAAGAATCCTATAGGGTTTTTGGGTATAACAAACTACGTAGAGTATGCATGTAGATTTGTAGTGCGCCACTACGATGTCTACTTCGATAACAATCGACTGGAAAATGTCGATTTATCGCTTAACAATGATACCAAATTTTCCAAGGTAAAAAATAAATCTAAGAAGTGTTTGCTGGATATGTACTATAAAGCTCAGTCTTGTACAAATTGAAAATGACCTGCAGTCAGCACTAATTTATAAAGCAATGCCGATCACGATTTGTGGCTTGTACTTTGCAAAGGCACAAAACAGTGTATAATCTGATAACACTTTACTCCTTGGAATTTGATCTATTGCAACATTAGCAGCTACTCGACAGTATAGCGAATTATAATTAGTACCATAAAGTCAAGGCAAACGTAAATGTATTTACTGTGACCATGAACTGCTGTACTACTGTAGGAAGAAGCCCTTCTTACAGTAGTCTATGGGAAATGAGTACAACAATAATTGATATTTCAATGTCAATCCAATTGCTGTAACAGTATTATTTCATTATCGATAATTGCTGAGTGATAAAGTACAAATGTTCATACAGAGCGCGTCTCTAGGTCATTGAATTGAATATATACAATTTACGATGCAGTCCAATGGTACATAAAATAATATGGTAATGAAGCAATAGCGTAATTAGAATTATCGCAGTATGATCGGTGTCTATCAATCCAAAGGTTTTTATTGCTTTCCTATACAACGGTTGTACAGCGATTGCTATTACATGGCGATAAGCCTAAGTATCGTTCCTTAGCAGTACTGTCAATACCATCAATTACGGTCGATTTCTGGCTTGAAAGAACGATACCATTGACCGACTGATTTATTGATACGCATACTGTAAAGGTAGTATAAAAGTGCTACTGTATTTACGATTCCTACGCGCTTACAGGTCTTTCTTTGACTCGCAATTAGGCTTTACAATGGTCATCGCTTTTTAATGACATGGTGTTATCTTAGACTATAGCATGTTTTACTGTTATTATTAATTCCGTTTTTATTAATCGACCTATCCGCTATATTTGCTTGACATTTTTGATCGTTTTTGTTAGCACTGGTAGAATATTATGATGTAATTATGAATTATTAATTGCTTCAACACTCCCAGTAGTGTTTGGAGTTGATGTTTTTGTATTTAGCTTTGTACAGTAGCGTACGATACATTCAAAATTGCTTACTGGTACGATAGACCGTCTAGTCTAAAATACTGTAGTTGTATTGCACAATCCTGTACACTTCCAATTTAGTTTTGTAGGCAAAAATTGCACATATCCATGTTTATGTATTTATCATTCTATGCTCTTGCATACTTTTAAAATGATGTAAAGTCTACCTAATGTTGGACTACGAGAATTTAGTACATGAGCAGCGCTTGACAATATGTATTATTCTACTCAGAACGCGATTTTCAAGCATGTTCTTACCCAACTGTACAGTAATCAGTGCTCTCCACGTTTCCAACTCTTACAAACAAACCTTGTTTATCGTACTGGGCACGATAGTAAGGTCCTACCCATATATCTCTGAAATTGTGATTTGCACATCGCAATATTTATTTTTATTAGTATTGACTGATGGATGACTAGATCACTTCTACAGTACAGTACAGTAGGTATGCCGCTATGCTATGTTGATGGCAATTGAATGTTTTAGTAGGAGCAACTACGGTTTTAAATGGACCCCAATTTTTCGTGTCGAAGCCATCCATTTTAAAAATTATATTTTACTGTTATATATAGATAATAATTCATAATAACATAGCAGGGACTAGGAGTCTCTGGCCATACTCTATATCCTATCCATTGAATAAGAGAAGAGAATGGCTGCTAATTAGCGAAGACTTTACTGTGTACAGTACTGTAGAAAGGGGTTCTGTACTGTAATGTACTGTACTGTAGACCGGAGAAGGTTTGGTATAGTACACAAGACACTACTGTTCTGTACTGCACAGTAGTGTAAGTAACCTGATACAAACTGACATTCGCTATGAATAGTGAAAAACGATGGGTAAAACGTCTCCAAAATACCAATCAATCAATCATAACAGTTACGGATCTTGCTATACATGAAAGTCTCATTAGAATTGAGTTGAGCAGGTAATAGCGCTAAATTTGCAACTGAAACGTAGAGTAAAATAGAATCATGGTGTTAAAAAGTAGATGTTTTGAAATGGCGGTACTCCCGACAGTACATCCTGTACAGTGTACAGTCTACAGTACTGTATAATATTAGTGTACTGTACTGTACGTAGAACAATGTACTGTATTTTCGGTCAAACTATCGAATGGAATGGATCACGTGGTACAGTAGTATACAATAGGCTTACAGTGACGTGCAGACAGTACTGTACTTAGTATTGTACTGCCGAATGGAAGGGATCACATGGTACGGTATTGTACAAAGCAAACTATCGAATGGAATAGATCACGTGGTACTGTCTTGCACAATAGGCTTACAGTGACATGCGTACAGTACAACAGAGGACAGTACTGTAACCTACTGTACTTAGTATTGTACTTCTTTTTCAACTTGCAACTTGTCTCCAAGTTGGGAAGTTAATGCTAATTTCATTTGGCTTGCCCCAATTTTTCTGTGTATTACTATTATACCATACAGAATAGAATGTTGACGCCATTCAACTTGATGAAGTTGAGGGTTTGCAACCAACCAGTATTGACTTCAAAAGTACTTTACCATCGTACATGACATTAATTCACCAACTTGTACTAACTGGTCGCATTAGATAATTGATGAAGGAGATTGCTTCGAACAATACAGTACTATGGGTGATATTGTACTATCTATTTTGACAATCAACATAGTGATACTGTTAACAATATCGCTGCAAGACTCTAGTATAACTGTCAATATGGAAATGAATTGAGGTGTATAGAATAGAATCGAGACGAGTATACAGACTAGGCTGCCTACCTATGGCTTACTACACCATCTCCAATTCTCTATGCTACAAGATTTCTCACACTTATTTACCCTACTAGCCCATAACATCCAGTTGTGTCGTCCACCTTCGACTCTGTTGTACGTTTAGTACAAAGACAAAAACATCGATCATCATCGATGGAGATATCGTGGTAGTAGGATGCATTTTACAACACTATACTACCTTACTGCTAGCTATTCTTAGTGCACTGTAGAAATATTGATAGCATCATTCACTTCAAAACTGACTGGAAACGCCAATTCCATTCAATTCTTTCCACATTTATCAATCAATCACGTAAGAAATCGTAAACGTTGACAAATCGTAAGTACTCTATATCATTTCCAATGGGATTTTGATTCAGTATGATCGCTCCCCCCCCCCCCCCCCGCATAAAATAAAAAGTTTCCATTTATTACGAATTTCTATCAGCTGATCCAAGTTGATGCCTCAAAGTTACGTTAGTTTGGTAATCACCAAACTAGTTCATCGTCAACTTAGCACTTATTAAGGTTATCCATGATCATGATAGTAATCACTGTAATCGGCAACTATCATTGACCATCATTGAAGCTTTGCCTACCAATCGGTAGTATTCGTAAAGAGTCTTACTGTTCTAACCAACAGTCTCAACATAAGAGGGAAACGATACGTATCCTGATGCATTTTTAGCATGGTAGTATTGATTACTAGCTGACACTACCTCTAGAAGACATACATTATTTTATATTGCTTAAAGTTAGCAGTACGTATATGCTTTTACCAATAGATTGCTAACTTTCAAGGTCTTAAGATGGCTTCTTTGGTAATACTTGAAGAGTTCGAATTTGCCCAATGACAACGTCGATTGTAGTAAATGGTGTTGTTTGTCAACTCTTCGATAAAACGTCTCATTTACAAGACTTTGAATGAAAGCCGTCGCGATCAAATTATATTCATGATCTATTTTTCGCTTTACAAGCCATCTTTTTTCTTTGAATTTGCTGTAGAAACACTATACTAGACGACCCATGTTGTTATCATGACTTGTAATTTTTCCAAGAACAATACTTCTTTAATGACTTACTGTTTTACACTATATCATTACAATGTCTTTTAAGTGGTTTTATTTTTTTTTTGAAGACGCTATTTGTGTGTAATTATCTACAAGTAGAAAGAAATCTTTCACAAAATTCATCTGTGAGAATATATTTAAGTAGCTTGTTTGATTAATTAGTAACGGTTAAATTCTAACCGTAGACGAGTGGGCATTACCCTTCCTTTTGATTAGAATGAAGTTAGAATTGAGGTTTTAATTAATTTTTATATGCAAGATCAAAAAAGAGTTAGCGACTTGTCTACTACTCTTCAGTCTCGATATTATATCGACTTACAGGAGTAGATTTCATTTATCCTCAACTGTTGTCGCCATTCCATTGACATCACAGTTTCCAGAAAGTTGAGCTTTTGCTAATACAATATTGGTACAGTAGATCAAAGCGTACAGAACAGTAGAATGCTAAAAGTCCTGAACATTCTTCTTTCTTGAGTGCCAAAAGGTCATCGGTTGAATCGATAAATTATTCTACTATAATACATTATATACATATACATGTAGGTATATGTTCAACTACGTCAATATTGAAATTAAGTATTGAAGAATATGTAATATAAGGGTACTGTACATTTCATCTATATTTTTATTCGTGCTGCAAATACCAACATGCTTGCGGAAAAAAATCTTATAATTGACTCTATGTATTCTCCAAAGGACCTATTATTATCTGACCGCTTAATTTTTTTGTAGTGCAGTTGATATTGTACGCCTCTTCTAAACATGCAAGTGCCTATAATTTTCGGTCGGTTTTTACATTAGCCCTTTGTGAATGGTTGGTTATGCAGTACGGGCAAGTGCCTATGATTTTCGATCGGTTTTTACATTAGCCCTTTGTGAATGGTTATACAGTAAAGGCAAGTGCTTATGATTTTCGATCGGTTTTTACATTAGCTCTTTAGGAATGGTTATACAGTACAACGTTACTTTTTTCTTTAAACCCAGAATTATACCATTAATATTGTACAGTACTACTCTATTCTAATTATCTCCTTATATGGTCTATCTATCAGTAATTTTCATAAAATTATTTTATTCGTATGTATTTTACACATGTGTGAACGTGTTGAGCGAGAAGGCTTGACTAGCCTATAGTCAACAAGGTTCATGCTTGTATAATATCGACCAAATTATACCCTACTTCGTAGATGCGGATAGTTTGTATTTACATACTCACTATCTCGTTAAGGGATCTTTTATCAAACTATGGGTTACAATTATTCTACTTCTACTTCTATGGTACTCATTCAGAATCTGTAAGAGGTTTTATAGTCTGTCAATTTGAATCACACGATAGCACTGTAATTTTTCTTTTGCAAGTTCCTAATTTGGTAAATGTATAAATATTGTGAAACTGCTATTAGCGTTTACGTTTTCAATTTACAAGTACTTTAGTTATCGCATCTGTTTTGCTAGATTGAGTGTGGGCCATGTTCTAGTAGTGGTTTTAAGGGTTTATCATTCGACTTCTTGCAACGTTTAGCAATTAACAGTAATATTTTTATGATTTGTATGATTCATCGAGCTTTAAAGTCTTATTGTTCTATCATGACTTACGAACTACAAATCACACAGTAATTGAATTGCTTTGGCCTGTTATGCACGAGTACTGCCGGCGACTTTATTAGAATCCAAATGGACACTCCCTATTAGATAGAGCAGATATAGATGATCCTGTTATCTATCTGATCGGAAATTGTTAAATTGAACAGCAGTTACTTTTTGATCATCTCATACAGTATGTGCATATCTACTCGGCATGTTAGTTCAATCGATACAATGCTATAAAGTGATATTATTACTAATAGCACGTCGTTAAATTTAGGTCATTATTTCGCTGCTGAGTTTTTGTGTTGTTTTAGACTCGTACTTAATCAATATGACGATTGTCTGCGGCTTTCTAATACATATACGGTGCTATTTGTTGTATTGAAATTGTGCTGCATTTCGTGCCGCGCAGGGTGAGCATGGGGTAGTTGAATTATGAACGAATAGTGAGTTAACTAAATTTACAATTGACTTATTTGAACAATGTGTAACACAAATTACACTAGAGACTGGTAGGCCATGATTACCCCTATGAGACTTCAATGTCTATATAATTTCTACGGTATATTGAATTAAAATTTAGGTCAAGGCATTTAACTCACTAATTTTAATACCAGCAGCAGAGAGAGACCCGTTATTGGTTCACACTAGAGAGCCTTTAGTTCAAACAATGTATCAGTAATTATTGCATTCTATAGTGGATGCAATTGTTAAATACTGTATTGCTGACAGCAAATTGCAGTGCTAATTGGCCTAGATTGATTAATATACTGCACTTAGTCTGTCATATTCTCGAAGGCTTAATTTTTATATAAAAATTTTCATTTTTAAAATTGACTATAGTTCTAATTATACATCATTAGTCAGACGATTATTATGACATGTTACATAGTAAACGTTTATTTGTTGATTTGTTAGACCGAAGCAAAATAGAACTGCACCTATTTGAGTTCTCGAATACGCGTATCATTAGAGTAAAGGTTAAATTTACAAGCTTAGCATAACACATAATATACCACAGAGATGACCCTTTATCTTTGATTTAGTTTGGATGTGACAAAAATACATGTGAGATATTCCTATACTGTAATTTAAGCTATCGAACCTATAGATATCATGTACGATGTGTATACCTGTATCCATTTTTATCCATGGATGACTATGTAAACGCCAGCTGTGCCGTATTTGACAGCGCAGCCTTGACATTCTGGATACAACTGTTGTGTAGAATGATACTACAGTAGGCGGAATACTGTTTCATAATAATGCATATACTACATTGTCTGTCCGGTGGCACCCATGCTGTGCATATAGAAACAAGTTTCTTTAGATTTATTTCGACTCCCATCATACGGTGGGACAGTTTCATGCTGTTGTCCTGTATTCATAATAATAATCATTATTGAACCTAGCGAAAAAAATATGGAAAGCTTAACGAAATGCCAATAGCCTACTATTCTATCAGTCGGTGCCATGTTGCTGTATGATGAGCGGCCATTGTCTGGAAAGACGACGATGTTTATAACATGAAGGTTAAAAACGCTAAAAATAAATACTGAACGCCTTGAGTGCTGTCTAGAAAGGAATGCGATGGCGTCATAACGTAGACGTGATGATTAAGATATTCGAGTCTATACTGTATAATTAGTAATTATTTTGCCGGTCTAGGACGATACTATCATATCATCGACATCAAGATCTGCGACAATGACTGTATTATAAACGTTACCTTTCTGATACTTACTATTACGTAATAGTGGATGATAATGGATATTGCCAACATTTTTAACTATTAGAATTTCCCTATCCAAACGGCTACGTTTTATTTTTTAACTGTACTGTAGTAAGGGATATACTGTATATCATAACGTACTGACTTCTAGTATTTTTGAAGCCAGCCCTGTGAATTATACTACAATAGGTACCGTTTTGTCTGCTTTTACTATATAGATCACCGAGATTATACTGGACTGTACTGCGAGCGGCATGGGGGATCGTTCCATGATATATTATTGATTTGCTTCGGTATATGTACAGTACAGTATTTAAGCTACAATAGTTTCATGTAGCATTGTACTCTTGATTTTAAATCAGAAGCCTTGCAACAGCGATTAGATCACCTGTAGCGATCACTGATTTTGGGTTATAATTATGTTCAATCGTGTGCTTTTTGTAGATTGGTTATTTTGTAGTCGCTCAAATATTGTCTTGTATTAACTTATTGGTAGACCCCTATTATTATTTTGATAGTACTGTACTATACTACTCGACGTTTACAAGAAGATTGGAAGCAGAATATAGCAGCACGTTATTTACAAATACTGTGTTACGTCTGATTCTTTTTCTTCAGAAGAGGTATTTAATGACCAAATGAAATTAGTTTCAAGTTATCATTTTGTATCAATATAGAGAAAAAAATGCTACGTTAAATTATTCACTATTCAGCGCTTCCTATCGATTGTATTGGTTGATATTTGTCCTAGCTACCAATATTCGTAAACTGACATGATGAAACCCATGAAAAAAATGATATCATATGGTGCTGTATTGACGCGCTAACGAGTTGACTATATAATAAATAAGCAAATTGACACAAAAGGAATAGAACACAATCTTGTATAAAATCGTTCATTTAGACGTAAGTAAGTCACACTATTGAATGCATTGTTCTTGTATCGTTTATCGCGGAAAATTTCGATTATTTTACTTGCAAGTTAAGTTTAGCTCGAGTGATCGACCAATTCGATCATAAACATAGAAGATAAATCAGACGTTTAACCACAGTATCTCTGTATGGGAGGAGGGGAGGAGGGGGGGGCATCGGCGCCGTAGGAGGCTATGATGAACGATTTCTGAGACGCTGTATTTTGTTTTTAATTAAAAGCCTGAACTTACTAGTCACGACATTACAGTCTATTCTAGTTGATGATAATGATAACTGTTAGCATTTCTAGACATAATCTACTACGTCAGTTTTTTATATCATATGGCTTGGCTAATTAATTGAGTTATCACTGTAATTACGGCTTTGCTAGAGTCTCTTCACCATGTCAATTAATTAATGTATCACAAGTGGTAACGTCAATTGGTAAATTATCTTCGTCAATACTGCATCATCGATGAATCATTGATTATTAGACTGTAAATTGTACGATTTATCCTCCGATATAAGTACTAGTTTTTCAACTGTATTTACTGTATTTAATGCTGACAATGTTTTATAGCGTTATTGGAACCTGTCAATTTTATGCCTTTGATTAAATTAATTTACATTAAAATTACGAAAAACAAATAGTCTGTACCTTTTTTACTGTCAACCATTGTTTAAGAGCGTAATCAGTTGCTGTCATTATCTCTTACTGCTTACTGGCTATTACTTTAAGATTCCCTTACAGATGTCTTGACTTGTGAAAGTATAAATTTTTTCTTTTGTACCTTAATATCAAATTCATAAAATACTGTAATATTCTGTAAGAATCCGGGCCCAACTACAGTATCTTATTTGAACTATAGCTTTGCCTAGAATCGTCTTGGTGCACTTTTATCGGTTAAAACGACTTATCAATCTATAGCAAGAACAGCTCATAAATAATTCTTTATTAAGGCGTTATCAGTGTAAAAGAGTAATAAAATTCTAATTTTGAATGATTTGTTGTTTTTTGGTGATATTTTTACAATAGCCTAGTTCTTGGACAAAAATACGAAATATGATTCACTGGTCGCCATTTGTACAAGCATTTAAAAGGAAATATCCATGGGTTCAACTTGCTGGTCATCAAGGTCAGTTTAGAATATCCTGTGTAAGATCTGCAGGACCTGCAATCATAGCATCAAAACTTTTGTCAACAGAATAATAAAACCATCAGTATCTCATCGTGCAACAATCTTTAGATTATCGATACTACTACAATACATATAGCTGTAATTCAAGAAGATTTAATAATAGATAATTACTTGTCTTGCTGCGATACTTTCTTAATCTATCACAGTGGTAATGGTTAATAGATCAATTACTACCGTAGAATCTTTCGTTGATAAACGATCAAATAAAATTAATTTACGTTCGTGGGTGCGCTAATATTAATTAATTACTACTATTGTTTTACGTAATGTTATTGAATAGGGAATTTTAAGGCTGGTGAAGCGGGTACAATCTTGAAGAAATACGCCCCCAAAGAAAAGGAAGCTTTATCACTCTTGATGAGAGATATTTTGCGTCCCTACGTGCCTGAATTTCAAAAAGAAGTTATTCGTAATGATGAACGTATCTTTGTCATATATTAATTAACTTTATTTCTAGGAATGATCAAATCCCTATAAACAATATTATTCCAATGCAGTATATGTTTACGAGATATGTTGGCAACTTATTGGCCTACTTAGTTATTGAAATTACCGTTAATAGCTATTGATGTGAATATCTTTATTGAGAACATTTTTTAATAATTTCCTTAATAAATCGATTTACAAATAAAGGTTTTATTCAAATGCAAGATTTATTAGGAGATTTTGACACTCCAAGCGTTATGGATTTAAAAATGGGAGTTCGGACGTATTTAGAAGAGGAGTTACAAAAAGCTAGGACAAAACCGAAACTGAGACGAGTAATTCTAATATTTGTCACTGTTTTAGAATTGTTTAGTAATTACTTCAGTTATGCTTCTATTAAGTAATGACTCTATTTTTTCGTTTATTCTAATTAGGATATGTATCAAAAAATGATTGAAGTTGATCCAAATGAACCAACACCTGAGGAAAGCAAATTAAAAGCTATCACTAAACCACGATACATGCAGTGGCGAGAAAATGCTAGTTCCACTGCATCGTTAGGCTTTAGGATTGAAGGCATTAAGGTGTGTACAGTATATTGGTACTATCGTTTTACTCTTTTCACTTCCGATCAAATTATTTTACTTATTACACTACAATAAAAATTTGTATACAAGTTAGCAATGTGATTTACAATCCTTTTTTAATTTTATCGACTGTACTATTGTACATATGTTTTATATGTATTCGGTGAGATTATCAATTTATTGTACATCAATACTAGTTTATCTTTACTAATTTTTCTTAAATTATTCTTAAATAATCTTATAAATTCAGATTTAAATCTAAAAATGGCTTGATTTTTTAATTACGTGAGTAGATCGGGGAAGGTGCTCCGGATAAAGATTTTAAGACAACTCGCTATAAACCAGAAGTTGCCGTAACATTTGATAAATTTGTGAACAATAACAAAATTGTAGTAGTAAGTCATAGATTGATTGAAGTTAAATGGACGTCATAATTAAAGAGATTATAGCTGTGTTGTAATGTTAAATGATGTAGGGTAAATATATACGTCGCTTGAAAGCCATACGAGCTACTTTGGAAATGTCACCTTTCTTCAAATGCCACGAAGTTAGTTTTTTAATAATTATTTCGAAAATAATAATGATGTCTGATTGTTAAATGAGAAATGAGGTTATTAAGGATATATATATATATATTTATCTTGATTTATTGTAGCTGATTGGTAGCTCTTTATTATTCGTACATGACAAAAATGATAACGCAAGCGTTTGGATGATCGACTTTGGTAAAACAACACGTTTATCCGATGGAAAGTACCTAGATCATCGAATACCTTGGATTGAAGGCAATCAAGAAGATGGCTATTTATGGGGTCTTGATAATCTAATTGATATTTGGTCAGATATTTACAATGGACAAATCGAGAACATATCTGAGGACTGTAAGGATGGCAACGGCGTCGGTAGTAATGATTCGACGGATGTACCGGCTAGTACGAAGGATGTACCAAATGGTAAATCCGAATTAAGTGACGATTTCACTCAGAAGGAGATTAACCTTACAAGTCATGAAGAGAGGTAGTACCCTAAAAGCTTTTTATCTATTTCAAATGAATGAGGCCATTCCATTATCGAATTATTATATTGGATTGAGCCATTTGGCGGAAACTACAAGTTAAATTTAAATCTTGCCAGTTTGATTATTATCCGCACCAGATTTGACCCCTCAATTGCATTTAACAACACGGTCGCACTCCGCCACCATAGAACTTATTTGAAGACAACTTAAAGGATCACTCTGATATTCTGTGATGTTGTATGTAAATTACAGGCACAAGAGATTGATCAATATGAAAGCACTTATTTCGTCACCTAATGAATGTAACGATCGATCATCTTCGAATAAGTTTACTTTTGTGATCACCAACTTAAATAGACTAATTTTTCTTAATGCATGTAATTACTTACGATGATTCCGTAATGATGGATAATGAAAGGAGTACAACACTTGGTTAAAGTATTCAATTTCATGCGGTAGTAATTTAATCTGCTGCTGCACTTACATATATCACCATATATGTAATTTGTCTATGAAATTAATTGTGTTTGTCTAACTCCATGGTGTTATCGTTTAAATATCAATACTTATACAATATGTCTTAGTGGTTTACTACACAAATGATACTTGATAAAGCGCATGATAACAGCTGTATGGGTTAGCCGAGTTGCTAACAATTATTACGATTTTTCAACGTTACTCCTGATTATTTAGCTGGACAGTTTGCGGATCAAAATTGAATAACTCTCGAAGGTATAATTACGGGAACATTCTGAATAGATAGATAGATAATGATGTTCTGTATATAACAATTCTATTATATGTGTATGTTAAAGATAATCATTGTTTACGACAATATTTGGTTAAATTTAAGACGGTAGTACAAACGATTATTTATACGTATGCCAATCAAAATTGCAAACAATCAATATGACAAATTTGTTTGCATAACCTTAATACCTTTTCAAAGGTTACTTGCATTTCCGTTTTTCTGTTGGATTACTAGTCATTGAGCAACATTAGTACACGTTTGTAGAAAATATATATAGAATCATATTACAGTATTTTATGATACACATGCGATTACTAATGGTAGACTTTCTCACGAACCAAGTGTACTACCTTACATATGGTTAAATTCGAACGCTGTAGTTTTTTAGATATTTAAATGTGCAAGTTAAAGTAGTGATTCCAGCATCAAAAATTGATTATTTTACTAACTTTGTTATCTACGAAAGGAAATAACCTTAACAAGCAATTAAGTACTCGTTAAAATAACATTAGTTGTGACGTGATGTAGCAACATACTACAGGATTGATGAAACACATAATGTAATATATCTACACTGGATAAAGATTCAAAACCAAAGGTACTATTTTACAGTATTAATGAGTTGTTAACATTGCAAATAAAAAATTTTCAGTTGATTCTTTCTCAGGTTGAATACGTCTGTTGAGTGTTTTTAAGTGGAGTTGGAGTATGAAAGCTAACTTGATCATGCGATAGTAGAAAAGAACTTTTTATTTGTTAAAGGTAACATAAAATTGTTATCATGTACAGTACAGTATGTAGGCCTTAAACAATATAGATTAAAAGTCTTAATTTGAAGACCATAAAACTAAATGATAAAATGTACTTTTGATAACAAATTATTCACCGACAGTAAATAATACTAATATCGAAGGAAAAAAGTATAGTAACTAGACTGTACGAATGCAAGTACAGTAAACGAGAGTATGAATTATCTAGGCAAATAATTGGGAGGATAACTCTGGACCAGGGCAATATCAAGCAAAAAGAGATTTTTCTAATTTAACTCAAAAGATAGGAATCAGACATGCCATTGATGGTACTAAGCAGTGCTATCGGGACGTATGAACTGCTACAGGAATGGACAGACGTTTGTGCTTACAAAATTGCTTTACTTACAGAATGAAAACCCTGGTGTATTGTAAGATAAATTTACATTTTTACACGGAACATGATACGCAAAGTACTGCGCACTATAAATTGCATAAGGAGATAGCAATAAGATTTGTTTAGCTGCAATTCTAATGTTTATCAAATCCTCAATACAGTATTACCTAATTGTTCATTAAATTCTAGTATGAGAATAACTTCTGAAGTCATCTGACAAATCATTGCAATATTTTTATGTCAGCGTTTGCATTAATAATTCGGTGATCTTTAAAATAGATCTGAGTGGTGTTGATACTTTTAGAGCAAATAGAATCGTTTGAAACGTTAAGGTAAAAAGTCATTGATTGAAGTAGATTCGTTACCACTCTATGCATGTATTTTAAATTTGTTTCCAAATCTAATTACGCAAATAATTGTAATATGAATACATATAGAATATTTGTCCATTTTAATAAAGAGTACACGGGCCATATCGTATAAAAGACATTCTAACTAAAAAGAAATTTTTCATTGGAAGTGTATATTTTAAATAACAAGAAATATTTTTCAAAAAATGACGTTAATAAAAGTTTAATGGCCGAACGTAATCTGCTACAATTAACACGCCAAGGCAAAATCAGCTTCTGTTATATTTCTTAGATGCGATTTTTAGTCTTTACATCAAAACTTGATCGTCTTTGAGTAGGTTATGAAATTTTTTACAAATGTATACAATGGTTAAATGTACTCCTATCTACTCATAATAACGTCTGTTCATACTAGTATCTTTCAACGCAGTAAGAGTAGTTATTAATCAACTTGGATTCAGTTACAGGTTTAAGTTATAGCAATTCGTAAGAATATTTCGATTTTCATTTACACGATTAATTTATTAGTAAATGCGTAACTAAATCCTTTAGCTGAACATTCACTTTGGTAGTTCGTATCCATTTTGAATGAACAAGGCAATAAATATTCAATACCGTTTAATTAATTTGATGTTCCTGGGTAACAGCAATTGCATCGAAATTTTGGCTTCCTTCATCTTCTGTAGATTCTTTGTTTCCATCAGCATTTGATTTGCTTTCTACAGCTTGAGAATGTTGCTCAGGCGCACTAGAAATCAGTGAAACTTTTGCTTCTTTAGTCACCATTTGAGGATATTTCTCTATCAAAATTTTATGGCCTCTTTCTTTCAATTGTAATAATTCCTCTTTCCATCCAAGAGCTTCAGCAAGTGTAAAACACCCATCATCACAAGTTCCTTGCCAAAAAACGTCCCTGTAAAGAAATAGCCAGCTTTCTAAGTAGATGCGACACTTCATATTTGTAAAAGCGATATACATTACCTGTAGTTACTCTCACAATCAAAGCTTAATCCTTCATTTATGCCTAACGCTCCAAATAATTTAGGTCGCTACAAATAATTTTAAGTTACAAAATATAAGCATTATGTCATATATACACCGTAGTAAGCATATGTGCTAAAAGTTTTGCAATAGTAAATCAGCTTTACCGTTCCACATTTTTCCAAATTAATTAAAAGACGAGGGGTGGCATCAGGTACTCTAATAGAATGTAAAATAAGGCCTGTTCGTAAAATAAGATCCATTTAATCGTATAAAGTAAGAACCTCGATAAATTTCGTAACTACCTTTCAATTAATGAAGCAAATGGTTGCACCTTTAGAGAAGTTCCCATTATGATTAATAAATCACATTGTGGGAAATCCTAAGTAACATTGTTGAATACATGGTCGTTAATCATCTTATAATTCACAAAAGATTATCGTATCAATCTTGTCATAATTAAGAAAGTCTAACTAGCCTATTTACAGCATTGCCGTATAATTAGTAAAATAAGGTATAGGATACTGTGAACTTAGCGTATACCTCATGCGTAGCAACGAAAAATTTAGTAGGAAGGGATTCACCAAAAAACACTATATCTATAATTATAATCATAAACTGAATTAACGATTCCGTAATTTTAAGTTTTGTATCACCAACGAACCGAAATGCATTAACAGATTGTTACCCGGTTTAACAGGAGAATTGCAATTGGAGCACAGCGGAATTATATCTTGAAGGACACGTTCTTGAATAAATATAACACAAATGATTTATTTTAAACGACATCAAAGGTTTTAATATCGATCTACAATATGAAATGCTATTACCTTTAACCCAATCAGAAGAGTATTCTTTTTGACAATCGTGATTAATGCAATGGGCAGCCGAGAAAGAGCCATGCGCTTCGATAAGTTTTTCTTTAGGTACGTTAGCTAAATGTTCTAGAGTATCGATATTCTGATATGACAGCAAATAGAAGAAATTTAGCTAGATTTACGAACAGTTCTAGACCGTGTTTACTATTACAATTACTGAGAAATGATACTAATCTATTCTTAAATTCCTATACCTGAGTAAAGTGACGGAGGAGCAATCCTTTATCATGCAACAGTTTAATAAAATAGTGGCTCAACGTGGGCTATAAGAGTTTATCATCAATTTCGAATAGTAGATTTACGTTAGCAGCATAGCGATCAGCAACGTTTTAATTAAAAATTTCAGTGATACCTTATAACGGCCGGGATATAATTCTTTCGCTAAGGAATAAAATGGAGAAGGATTCTCCTATACCGTTGTAAGACAATTAAAACTTTATTATAATCACTCTTATTTAATAAACATACCGTATATATATTATCGAGACAGAATTAAATATAAATCAAATGATTGCTCTTACTCTGAAATAACTTAATCTAAAAATGCTTTCTGGATCCGGCAGATCATACTTTTGTAAATTGTCATATAACCCAGTTCCGGGAGTTCTAAAATCAGGGATGCCCGCTGACGTAGAAATGCCAGCGCCAGCCATGACAATAATATTTTTACCTAATAATTACCACGAATGGTAAATGACGCATTAATTTTTTAGATCCGTTTGGTAAATATGTTTAACTTAATATTTATTCTTTCTCACATTTATCGGAAAGCATATACTTTACTATTCCTTCAAAGGTAACTTCACTCAACAATTGCTGTGGTTGTTCAGCCTCAGAGTCATTCTCACCAACAAAAATGTTGAAACGTTGCAGTAGACTTCTTACATTTTCCAAATCTATTTACAAATTTTCACATATTATCTCCTGATAGTGGTTCTAACAGTTACAATTAGTACAGTATTGAAGTGTGGACGAATAAATATTATCATAATCATCACTAATTTTTTGACATATTTAACTTGTGTATTTCTATAAAGTTACTTACACCCTTCTGAAGAAAATTCCGGATCTTTAGATTTATCATTGTAGTCCTATAAGACATAATGTCAGCAATAAAAAATAAAATGGTGTGTCTTTAGTTATTCAAGATAGCTATTGATGGAAGGTAGTGATAGCATCAGAACGTTGAGTACTGTACTGCTCTGCCGGTGCTCGTCATAATAAACATAATTCTAACTAATTTCTATCTGAAATTAAACGTGATGTGAAAGTAAATATCAACAATGAATGATATTGAACTATTTTAATAGATAAATAAATGGCTGTAGCAGCACTCAGCTATCGAAATGTACATATGCAAATCTGAGGTGATGTACGAATAAATAAAACATGTAAATCTATTTCTGCTATACTCTATTCTAATATTGTTAGTTCAAACTATTTTTCGATGGCTTGTCGAAACCTGCCAAGAACACTTACGCTTGCAAGATATTGAAGCAAGGCAGACACCGTACACCAATTAGGCAAATCATCAACTCGTCGTTGATATGGAGAATAAACTGAGTTATTACGGAAATCATTTTCATGATGATTGCTGTCTTCATAATTTTCATAACGGTTGTCATAGTGGTGATGATATGGAGGATAAGGAGCAGTTCGATTTGGATAAAACAAGGCGTTATGACGTGAGCCAGTCGGATTGTGATAATGTCTGTAACTTTCAGAAACTAAATCCAATTTTGGATAATAACTACAATAATCGTCATTGGAATCGAAGTCTGATTCTGTGTCTGATTGATATCTCGGTTGTAATGCTACTTGTAAGCGTGGCATTTTCTTGCATGGTTCTAATATGGCCTGATGTAATTGCGACGCAATGTAATAAGGGTGATCGATTTAATTTCATCATAGAAGTAAATTGTAGATTGGTAGGATAATTATGTTTAAAATCGATATTTACTGTTTCCTTGCATTACTTCGTAAATGGAAATAAAATATTACTAATACTATGGTAATTTAACACGGTTGAAAAGATATTATACCTCAATTATTACATATCTTTGTACGAATTGAATATTCGATAAACTATATAAAGTCTAGAGATAAGGGATAAATAAAACCTGATATTTACAGTTAACACTATTGTTATTACTTTTTCTAAGATAAACGGTTAAATACAAGAAGTGATTATATACTGAACTTGTAGGAAGCATAACTACTTTAACGTTATCAGTCTGTCTTACTACATAGTTTGTGTAGATTTGTAGATTATAGTAGTAGGCGTAACACAGGTTTTGTTGAAGCTACTTGCAATACCGATTTACAGTATATATAGTCCATTTATAATCACTACTTCAGTTAACAATTTATACTGAAATCAAGAGAATATAATATAATTTATATAAAAATCCGGATAGACTATAGTATATGTTATGATGAGACTTATAAAGGCATAGCAGTACAATATCAAGTATCAGTCATTAAGATATTAAATCGAAGGGATGAGAATCCAGCAGTTTTAACAATATTATACGCGACATGTGTATACCATATAGCATACCTCACTATCTTCAGCTGATTGATCTCCTTCATAACCTTCAGTCTCTGTTGTAGACGTTGTCTCTGGACTCTTTTCAATCACGCTCTCAGCATCATCCTGGTGATAACTGGTAGCTTCTGCAATCGCTGAAAGAATTGAAAAATTAACGATTCGGTAATATTAAAGTATCGAAATTACAGTACTGTATACTGCACTAGTAAAGTCCTAAGTTTGATCAATCTAGTGGGTATGTATGTCAGAAGCTTGCATGGATAAGTATTGCTTCTAGTCAATGCAGTCAAATGTTCCACATTTCTATTACCGGATGTAAAATTATGTTGACGATTCCCTACTTCATGTTTCCTTTCGTCTTGCATTGTGAGTAAGATAAAACTTGTTATCATTTCTCATATTTCATAGGTGATGCGATATCATACTTGTCATAAGTAGGTATACTTGCAAGACAGTTTTGACAAATACGTAAAAAGGAGATCTTGAAGCACTGCAGTGCTGAATCAACAATAGAATGTATACCTAAAATGCTAAGAGTCCTCGTTTGATCCCTGGAAAAGGTGCTCGTTTACTTTAAACAAATAAGCTATTTCAAACTTATACTGATCTGTTTCATACCAGTGAATCAATCTACTAACATAAACATACATACAGTATATTATACATCCAGATCATGCTTCCTTTACTGTTCTTGTATAAATATACACTTTGGACTATTCACCCATCTCTTAATTACAATTGCAATGCATTTCTAATACGGCACTAGATATAAGAAAATCCAGAAGTCAAAGCATTTCAAACTTCTGATACTATCAAATCATCACTCAAAAGGCAGATGATGTACTAACTACACTCATCTATTATGCAAATTTATGGATGCTACAGAACCAACATAAAAGGATCAATCTATCGTATATCAACAGATAGAAATTCTTTAAATTAAGTAACCGAACACTACTTTGTCCTATTACAATTCCAGTCATGATAACTGTTAGAATACACATGATGTATAAAATTGATCAATACGGTTACAAACAACAGGATATACGAATTGGCATAGTATTGACGCTATATATCCTTGCAGATTATGTAGCTCATAAATCAGTAATGACTTTAATAAGGTATGATAGCTCATTCTATTAGCAATCTTGAAGTGGGTATTGCGTATATAAACCTTTATTCTTTATTTCAATGTTTCAATAATACTGTAAGAGAAAGTTTGAAGGCCTTCAGGGCAAATGGATTACTAATAACCATGACTATCGATCTTGATAAAACTCAAAGAAAGTTTCTTGGTAGGATAAAAAAGGGCAAAAATCGATAGAGATCCATCTACTATACACACACCCTTAATGAATTATACCGTAATTATAATTATAAGTCCATTTCTACGCCTAAAGTGGCACACGACTTTCTAGCTTTCTAGAGCAATCGTACAATTTACTTTTCCAAGGGTAGAGATAGATGACTTACGTTGATTCTCCGATGATGCCATCACTGATCGACACCAACACCAAGGTATTTACTGCACACTAATCGATCAATGGCATGCAGTCTTTGACAAGGAAGATAGATGATCAATCTTTCTACTGTAACAGCAAGAAATAAAGAGAAAAATCATAACATTAAAATAGCAATCCTAGGTGATCAAGAAGTTACAAGAGACTACAATAGTCAACTTAGCCAAAGAGGCCGCAGTCAGACATCGCCTTTTCACTATAGTACTATTATCCGTTTACTATTTCTATCACTTGTGATAATGTAGCCTTGAAAGGAAAAATACATTCCATCTTTCAGTTATTCTACTTATATTGGCTCGAAAGTATAGCTAGCTAGTCAGCGATTAATTATCGTCCAATCCAATTGTTGAGTCAAGTTTTCACTACAGTACCTCTACTTTATACTAAGCAAGTAAGCATCGATTCTTCAAAGACCACACTAAAGTAAAATACTTGTATTCATAGCTTCAACTAGAATGCATAGAAAAACAGTAACTAGTTCTAAATTAGTCATTTACCTTTGACTACTTTCAATTTTGCAATAACCACTGCAAATTCAGCATCAATTTTAACCGACAAGTAGCACCAAGAAGATTTTTTTCTCCAACTGGCCTTTTAATATGGCCGATACTCACACATACACATGGGAATGAATCTGTCTGTCCGAAATCCTGCCTACAGTCACAGTCACGGTACGTGGCCGATACTCACACATACTGTACTGTACACATGGGAATGAATCCGTCTGTCCGAAATCTTGCCTACAGTCACAGTCACAGTACGTACAGAAGTAGTCTATTCTTATACTGTAGCGGCACTAAATCGGTTCGATTATCCATCGTATCTCTAATTCTGGTCAATAATTAGTTATTTGCATGCTTGAATTCGATAGCTGACTCTCTTATGGGGTTGGGAAGTTGAATTCTCTCTTGCGCATGCGTAATTCGTTGTTATAGAACTCGTAATAATTGCAGTAGTGAATTAGACAGTATACTGTAGTTTGACTGTATCACGACCACGATGACGTCTGTCCAATATCTCTCTGCCGGAGTCCGTCCGGCCAGGGACTACTAAAAAGGAAAGAGGAGAGGGATGCAAAGTAAAAAGTAAAATGCAGAAAGCAATCATGTTTTCTGGTCATTCTACTCTGTGGAGGGGATGATCATCATGAACAATCTAGTCTACGATTATAGATATACGATACCGTCGAAATGACTAGTAAAATAGTCGGCCTCCCAATTTTTTTTTGTATCCTTCTTTCTTTCTTTCTTCGTGGTCTTTGCTGATTGCATTGCATTCTACTCGATATACTTTTCATCTGCTGTTCTGCTCATAGAACTAGAATAGAAGTAAAAGGGAAACTTCCATCGCTTATACGTACTGTGGTACTCAGTACAGTATATTTTGTTTCTGCCATATACGCATACTATTTATATACGTGTACATATATACAATATTAGGTAGGCATCTGAGAATAATAATTAATTCTTTCAACAGCGCTTTACAGCTTCTGCAGCTTTAGCCGGTTTCATTTGGCGGTATCATGGCAACAGAGCCTGTAATACAGGCTTGCATGATCAGTGGTTGTAGGACAACTACCACCTGGACAAGGATTATCGCGATTGCCTCTAGGCAAATGGTGATCTGTTATGAATGGTTTGATGTCCTAACTTCAATTTCTATCGATAAATGCGATCAGACCGATAGGAGTCGATATCGAGCCTTCTTTCTTGACGGAAATGGCTAGATGTGAGAAGTCATAATTCGATGACAAAGTATCGAAAATAAGTAAAAGCTCAAAGGTAGAATAATTCAACAGAAAATGTAAAGTAAAATTATCTCCAGAGCAGTTGATTAGCAAGCCGCACTAGGAGCATGCCGTAATCATACTGGATTCTACTCTCATCGTATCATAACAGAAATTTTATGATACAGTTTAGCTAACGCGAGTAGGGCGATAGTAGTAACTTGCTACGATACCAAACACTATCCTGCAAGTACTTTATTTAGACAATATACTAAGGTGGTGCTTTGAAGCAATAGCATACTAGCCGCTGATTGGACAATCTCAGTTTAGAATTAACCGTTATATGTTGATATAATAGTATATTATAATCGATCACGATAGTACAATATTGTATCTTTCCATGGACTAGACTAATAAGCTGGGCAACCTACTTTTACTTTAGAATAGAACCTTAACGGTACACAGCCAATTCATTTTTAAATACCTATAAGTAACCTCTATCGTTGCTATTGAAAACGGTAGTTCAATTTATGGTAAGTTGATAATATCCAAGTTAGCGGGAATAGTGTCATCAACATCAATTTTATGCTCAGATAAAACATCCACTTACTTTTTGACTAGTTATATTTTAGATTTCCATGATTTGAAAATAGATTATACAACTGCTTCAATGCATAATTTAGCTTAGTTTAATCCAAGTAAACTAGCAGTAAAACGCACGACTGAATCCGGAAGTATAATATAATATAACATCAACAGGATTTGTATTCATGTATTGAATGCTATATTTTGGTTATCATGGTAAGCCAAGAAATGATAACTCAAGCCTAACTAGCTTACTTCGTTGGGTAATCATGAGAATACATCAATATTTTGAGCTAGATGAATTAGAAAACTATTTTCCTTTTGATAACGTACGATATTGCCTCCACGTCTATACCCCTGTATTAATTTTAAAGGCATTTCTTTAAATTTTTTGTTGTTTTGCGTTTAGATTTATTTGGACGTAAATTACATGTATCTAGTGTTTAATAAAAGTAATAAATCGATACCACTACTAACTTCATTCAAAAAGCGCCTATATACAGTATTCCATGTATATACATCAATACAATTGAAGCTTAATAGCTCTACTTCAATTAGCTATAGTTCACCTTTCTAGTAGTAGTTGTAAAATAGCATTAGATTTATGTTGTACTGCACTCAATTTTATATTTAGTACGATGAAATAGCATAGACGTATATACGAGGTCATGAATTGAAGTGTATACTACTACAGTAAATATGAGCATTGTATCGACAACTCAACTCTTCTTTACGCATACCCTTGTTTATATATTATTATTTTTTAGGCAAAAAAACAGAACTAAATCAACTCCAAATTGATGAGCACTACGATATCATGCTAAAGTATAACCTGAAAGCGACTCCGTCATCAATGCTTCCAATGTTTTCCGACATCAGCCATGTATCCAGGTTTATATTTATGTATACAGTATACTTGCTGGATAGCCAGATTCTCTGGTTGTGTTTTAACTACATCGATTATAATAGTTTATCGATTTATAATACGTGTAAGAATATTTAGCTCAAAATTTAGTACACAAATGGGGTAAAATGGATATGCATTTCCATTATAGGAAGATTGTTTTCTAATCCATTTGTTTTATATAAATCATCGATAGTATTTTGGAATTATGCACGCACATTATTAGTAGGGAATCGGACATTAAATATTGATCATTAAGTTATCGTACCATAAACTATAACTGATTCTGTTCATTAATATAGAAATTGATCAAGAGATGCTTTTTCATATTTTTTTAATCGATCTTAATAATGGTATCCTGAAATCATTCTGTATATTCATATTCATAAAATTTATATGTATCAAATTATAGTGCTAATTCACAGTATCAGGATGTCTGTAGAAGAGAAAAAGAAAGTCAATTACGAAATGATAAATTGCTTTATGATTTGGAAGTTGCTTGCAAGCATTCCACGCTACTAGACTCCAAGCTATTTGATTTGCAGACTGCTAGGGTATAAAATTAAAAAAGATAACTTAATGTTTGTTACTTTGATATATATTTTAATCTAATTGAGCTTATTATCCAACTTTAATTTTTGAAATACCGTAATACTAATTTAACGATAGACACTTTATGATTCTTTGAGTAAATTCTTACTCCTAAATTGGTTCATGCCATTTTTATAGGATCAATACAAAGAAATGGCAATGAAATATAGTGCAAAATTGAAGATTGAAGCTACTGAATCGTCTATAGCACCATCCAGTAACGTACTTCATATTCATACTAAGTCAGATAGTTACGATCAGGAACGACCAGATGAAGTAAAATTGCCATTACCAAAATCATCACTAATATTGAAGCCAGCTGACGATATTCCTAGCCTGATCCAAGCAGCACAGCAGATAAGCAATCTCTCTGGTCACCACAAGCAGTATCCATTAATAGATGACAAGTTGATGCAACCTTATCAAGATCATCTGCAAGCTGATGATATCAATGCATCCAATGTTACAGATTCGATCAATAGTAGTAATCAAGAAGAAATACCAATAATTAAGCCATTGCCAACAATCGATGATTTATTGATGACCGCTGGCCAAGGCAATAAACAAAATAATAATAAAAATAATAATCCTTTAGATTATGAGCACAAGCTTACAGACGACAGTATATCTATGATACCACATGATGAGCAAGATAATTCAAGTAAATCTGAAAAAAGAAATGAGCCTTCGCTAATGCCAATAATATCAGGTAAACAGGTTGAAGAAAGTGCTGGTGATAGCCCGAAGAATAGTACGTTAATAAAACACGAGGTAGAGAATGATCATTTCAATCCAAAAGCACTGAAAAATGACGCATCGACAGTGGTTATGATTGAGAGTAGTGTCTTACAACCGAAAATTAATGAGCAACATGATATTCATATTTATGCTACAGATAGCAATAGCGATGAACAGTCCTCTGTTGGTAATATTATTTCGCACAAAAGTGATGATGTCGATGACCAAGATAAGGAAATGGTCTCACAAGATATTAACCGTGAAGTAGTTATAGTTCAAGATGTAGATGATAATAAAAATCGTTCTAGTGACGACAACAATGAGAAAGATCGCATCACATCAAAATTATCATTCGAGTCCTCAACATCTGATGATGATAGCTCTTCTATTGAGCAATCTATTAGCTCTAAGAAATCGTTATCTAATATAGAGGAATCCATTAAATACGACCAAAGTGAGAACGAAAACCAACAACAATTATCTACGAACAAAGGTAAAATATTTAATAATTGTTAGTGTATTTAGATGTTACGAAAATTTTCTAGCATAATACAGATAGAAATGCTATATGCGTACATTATCACTACCTTGCATATTGTTATTAGTAAGTTACACTTTATCTTGAGAAATTACTATTGGGATTGAAGTAATATGGTCGCATTCAAATACGTATCTGTATATTATCATATTCCTGCTTACTTGATTTCTGATTTTTCGTTCTTATTAAAATTATTTTAACTACAATTCAAAAAATAATAAAATTCGAAACTATATCAACGATAATTTTAGAGTTTATTCGATAGTTTCCTTCTGTGCGATCATATGTACACATCATATAACATATATAAACATTCGGCTTTCGGATATAGCACATGCCCCAAAGTGTTCGTACTAGTAAGAAATTAAACAGTTCGGTTAACATATTTGATTAATTTATTAAGATGATATCTTTGTTAACGTACATATCTTTCAGAAAAGAAACCTGATGCCACCGGTGAAGTGGAGCGAGATAGTAAGAGTAAAAATGTTCCTGAGTATCAATCTGATTTCGAAGATAGTAACACTATGAGTTCGTCTGAGAATATGTCCGATATTGAAAATAGCATGGTAAGACAATGATAATACTTAGCATTCAGGAAATGGAGAAATCAAGATATGATTTTACTGTATCAAATCTTTGTATAATGATTTTACTTGTATTTACTACTTTTAGCGTCTAAAACAAGATGTTAGAGAAGATGAAGGCGAGAATAAGACAGAAGCGGAGGCTTATGATGCTTTGAGAAGATCTGTTCTAGGTAGTCCTTTAAGTTCAGCAAGAGAGAATGCTGAAGGCGATGATGTAATGTCATTCTTGAGCGAAGATAGTGATATTGATGCGCTAGAGCAAGAGTTAGCCGAAATTGTATCCCCACGTGCAGTCGCAAGGTAATGTTTTACAATAAAATTTTTATAGCTGGCTCATAACTTTACAATCCACATGTGAACATTCTACCTTATTTTTATTATTAATTTAATATTTATAGTAAGCACGTTTTATAGTGCTACTGTTCTCATAATATTTATTTACTTGTAGTGGTAACAACGCTAACGAAAGGTCGCAAAGATCAAGCATTCGTAGACTGCCAAGCATTCCAGCTTCACAAAGTGCCCATAATATTAAAGGAGTTGATGATTCTAATCAAGATCATAATCGACCTCGCTCTCGTAGTGCAGGTACGGATCAAACAGCTGATCAGCCCCAATCTCCTACCCTTGAAGATACACTTTCTCGTGATAAATCATATAGTCAGGATAGCATAGGAGACGCTATAAAAGATGAAAGCCAGCAAACTGTTCAAAAAATACGCCAAGGTAGCTTTTACTCAAGATTTAGATTTTATCGCCAAATTCCTCTTCTGACTTACAATTTTAGTAATTTCCATATGGTACTTTTAGACGTTAATTAATTAATAATAAAGGACATTTACAGCATTAATTTAACTATAATTATGCTTGGAATTGCTATATACGTTTGGTAATGTATTGGTATTACAAATTTGAATTTCTCTCTAGTATTAATGAGTGATGATATGGACGATGAGAACATGTTTGACCTGGAGCCAAATACTCCTAAAAAGGAAATTAAAGCACTATCGTCTGATGACGATTTTGACTTCTATGGATAACTTTGCCGCAATAAATTGGAAATCTGTACAAAGACAAATATCAATTTTGGAACGAACTCATGAAAATGCAGTAGTTGCTAATCATCAAGACCTGCTTCTGAAAATGAGAAGTACTACTATCAAATCTCGATCACTTTGCAAGATGTCTCAAATCGCTCCAATATGTTTGATGAATTACGTTGACTGCATTATAGCTAAAGGCAATTAATTGTAGAAAAACGTGTTGAGATTCAGTAAGATTAATAGCGTATATGATTGTACAGTAAATATAACAAAAAACTGCCAAATTTCTTTTAGATGACGAACAATTCAAACTACGTGTATTTTTATCGAATGGCATCGATGTAAAAGGAAGCTAAAAATTGCATTTATTAGAAACAAATTCCCTTGTATTAATTATTAATCGATCGATAATATTTGATAATATTTATAACTACGTAAATAAATAAAATAGACCCATTTACACAACAATAAAGAATAACAGTTAATACTTCGAATAAATTCTAACTGGAAGTTTACTTTTTTCATGTTGCTTCAAATTTCCATATTCAGCTGCAAAATAAGAAGCGATACATAATCTTTAGTCTGAAGATCTTAATGATTAATTAATTAATTAATCAATCAATTATAAATTAGCGGTCATGTAATATAAAGGAAAAATACCTAATTTATTGAATATCATAATTAAAGAATGCTTCTTTAACTTGTTAATACTAATTACTTCTTTGTCATTCCTAAACAGAAAAGGCAGTTAAGTTAAAGAAATATCTCAGTTTAGCATTCGTATATATACGCATATATATACACTTCATTCAATACTTAGTTGACTAAAGCATAGACAACAATTTTAATAGCATTTATTATAATCAGGAACCATTACCTTAGAGATTTTTTAATGACATCACAATCATGAAGTGCTTTAAAAGCGTTGCTGTATAACGATAAAGATAGTACTTCGTAATACTTCGAAAGTCCTTAAAATGGAAATATAATAAAATAAAAGTAAACATACTGCACAATGTAAATGGAGTAGCTTCAATCAATTTCTTTAGCAGAGACTTTTCAGGTTTACAAACCTCCATTTATATAGTCTATAGCTAACTGTTGCGCTCCTTGGCACGATGCTTTAAGGGAAAACTCCAAATGACCGTCAAGATTCGTTAGAACGTATTGACAAGTAATCTTAGAGACGAAAACAAAATTAGTAAAATGATATTTTAATGTTTCGACAAAAATCTTTGGGAACACAAGTACAAAAGTAGAAGGAAATATACTATACATTACCCAATAGGCCACGATAAATGGACGTATTAATTCACATAAGAATTCGACAAGTCTGTGACCTTCTGATGTAATATGAATCGATGACGAGCTAACATTCAGAGATACGTTACTTTCACGGAGTAACCGTATAGCTCTGTGAAATGCTTCCTATTCATTTAATATAGTAGTTTTATCACTAGAATGTAACAAATTTAATGATAATACACATCTTACAACTAGTAACTCACCTCATATTTGTCATCGCATGTTATGACAAATTCGTCATTAAATAATTTATTTAATAATTGAAAATTTTCCAATGCCACATCTGTAAAATGTTATACATAACTACGTCAGATTGACAACTTGTGTTGGTAAGCTTTAATGTGATTGCTATTCATTCAGTGATGATATTGTCAATGCTAATTTGTAAGAATCAGAATATTTCAATAAAGCATACCGATATTAACTGGTAACTCTCCAGCTTTACTTTCATTCCAAAGAACTACAGCTAATAATCCTTGTAGCGCAAATAAATGTAAAATTTTGTTGCGATGTCTTGCTAATACTACATGATCAGCAGCAGTAGCGAAGACTGCGTCATAGATTAATAATGGACGTTCGGAACCCTTTAATGCCTTGTTAGAATTATTATATTCACTTTTAACTACAATAAGTCCATCAGATGTCAATCGTAAAACCTCGTGCATTAGACCTAAAGCCCTTTTGACATTGCATGAATCGTCTTTTTCACCTAAATATATTGTTTCGATATAGAATCACAAAATCAATTAGTAAACTTGAAAACTGAATTATTTCATATAAATGAAATTTTGTAGAATATTTTATATCAAACTATGCAATGCCAACAGTATAGCTTTACCGCCTAAAATTGCAATATCCCCTCTTATCCTAGCAATTTCAGTTCTAAGCCACTGCACTTCGGCAACGGCATCATCTAGAAATTGATAAAGTTGTCACGGCCATGTTTGTTATTTTGGAGTAATTTCATGGTAGTATAATAATACTGTAACTCGCTTCTTTGCTACGGAAGATCGAAATATTACGGAATATCCCGATCGCGATAAAGGCTTTACTGTACTTTCATATTTTAGTTCTTCACGCATTTTATTACGAATAAATCGAAATTACTTATTTAGATAGCGTACCGAATTGAAGGCCACCATCATGCTGTAGGATGATTGTCGATAATAACGCACAACCAGTTAAAAGCAGGTTTTCTCGCTGACGATCAATCAAGTGATAAGACAATTGCTTAACACAATGACTCTCCGGGTCGGCATCGTTACCATAATGCCTACAAAAATCAAAAGTTATAAATGCTTGAATTATTACATTTATGACAGCAAATTTGCTAAGATAATAATTTGATGTTACCTTGGGTGCAATGTATGGATAGATCTATCAATTTCGAATTGTTGGCAATAGTCTCTCATTGAGATAACATGTCCAAAATGAACATGTATTTTACCAAAATTTTCCGATAATATCGTTCTTGCTTTTAACAATCCCTAATATCAACAATTGATGGATAAATATTTAAAACTTAACTGCATGCAATTAATAAATCATAATATTGACATTTATTAGTAGTAATAGGTTATCTATTGACTATTTCCTTATCCTAAGCAATAACAATAAAAATTGCGGCACCGATGTTGATTCCGGTGGTTTGGCAGCGCCCAACAATTCCCTAACCATCAAACTATCGTCGACTACCTTTTCGTAGGTTATACTTATTGGGCAAATTTTGATGTCTGGTACTTTACATTCAAAATATGATCTTGCCGCCTCTTTTAGTAACCCTATCGGTTCAGTTATACAAATAAATAATGCATAAATATCTAAACAAATGTTACCCTATATGAAAAAACATGCAAAAGATAAATTGATTAAAATAGATCAACCTCTTTTTGGCGGTAGTGATTTCCCAGTTCTACTTCGGGTCCCTTCTACAAAAATTTCTACCGGAAGATCGCCGTAACAAAGAATTGTGGTAAGGTATTCATTGAATATCGTCCAATATAATCGATCTTTTCCCAGAAAGCTTCGGCGCATAAAAAAGGCTCCACATCTTCGCAATATTATAGAAACACCAGCCATCCGGGAGAAATCTATCAAAAAAATAAGATAACGATATGATATGATATGAACGCTAGTGCTTAGCCGCCAATAACTTCTTATGCTGTACAGGTAATGATCTTGCTTTAATACTATTTGGTGTATTACCTTGGCCAGCAACAATAGCTGGTATAGGAACGCCGCAAGCGCGTAGAACGTATGAAACTAATATGAAGTCGGCATAACTCCGGTGTACAGGCGCTAAAATAACAGGTGAATCCTGCATGACTGCTTTCAACTAAATTATAAAAGTGTTGGTAAATTGATAAGAAAAATGTCAATGAACACATTTGATATGAAAACATTTTGGGTATGCGGTAGTAACTTGGCGGTATTACAACAATTCATAGAGTTGAATGCACTCTAAGATTAATTTTATAGCTGTCTTATATATCATAAATCCTTCTTTAATATCTTTGCTAGCACGAGACAATTTAGCTCTACGAGTATTGTCTACTTCAAATACAGTATTGGTTACTTCTTCTACGATGGCTATAAAGAATTTTATTTTTATTAAAATGTAAACGATTATCACATTGATATAAAGACATGGAAGTGCTTTAATTTTAATAATGTAGGCCGTTGATATTGAAACTTGATATAATTATTTACTCTATTTATTTTTCAGTATACACACTGCTTTTTTCTAAATTTTACGTATACATATACTGTATATTGCTGATAATATTGTTACATAATGGGACTGATACCTAAAACTGGTTATTAAGACTTGTTATAATTAACTATTAGCAAGTACAAATAATATTTGCCTCTGCGTAACTGCTATGCTACTAATAATTACCTCATTAATACCAGACTTGTTGACCGATATTTCTTCAACGATTCGACATATAACCTTTGTCATAAAGACAAGCATAACTCTAGTAGATAATTCTCCTTGCCTATGCTCAATTTCCTGAATATAACTATTCACCGTAGCTTTGACGTCATCAAGTGATTGGCCAGTTTCTTGTACAATCTAATTAAAGCAAGATGGGATGAAATTAGGCTTGGATAATCAACACCAGATTCTTAGCAGACAACTAATGATGCATCCAAAATAATCATGTTGCTATATTATACATCTGTATGATTGTATTGAAGGCCCGATATCATACAGAATGACTGAGCTCATTCCAAAAGTATTACATAATCAAGAATTAGCTATTATCATTATTGACAATCAAGGTTAAAAATATCAACATTAGGATTTATCTATGTTTGTCTAATGCTTGTTATTAGTGCCTTATTGTTGATATCTCCTGATTACGTGTGAGCCATCCTGTAGTGATCTACTGTACAGTATAATGAAGATAGGACTTGAGCTACTTCTATCGCTGTGTACGGAATGGCTATCTCGTACTTTTTTTTAAGCTTATGTAGTGCAATGCAGTTACTCGGATACCACAATCTATTTGACACTGTGACCGTAGCAGGTAGTGACTGTCCTGTCCTATGGTATACCGTCACATCGTGTTTGATTCAGAAAACTACTCGTCCATTACTGGCAAAACCAATTACAGTACTGTTGTATATGATTGAAAGAACGATAGGATTATCTAGTTAGAACGTAAGATAGCATACAGTAAAGTAAATTCAACAGTGATAACAATTTTAAAAGTTTGTGTCTTTGTACACTTTAGTGAAAATTCCAATATTCCAACAGGGTAATCACCAATGAACTGATCAGTAATTGATTAGCATAACTACGTACAGTACTGTCAGTATAACTTATACCATACTGAGCGAACGATCTGCTTGCTATACTATTGACTCTGATAACTTGATTAAATAAATGTCCCCCATTCCTATGTAATGTAATGTTATGTTATATAATATGTCTACGATATGCCATAACTGATTTAACTCACTCGAACGTGTGCACCGTACATACTATCGATAAGCATGAAGAAATTAGTGCTCATCCTTTCTCCAAAAGTCGCTTTTAGTACGGTGTAGACAGAATCGTCCAATTCTTTTCCGAGTTCATTACTGATTTGCCACTGTATAATTTTATAATTACCAATATGCCATTGCAAATTTAGGTATTTTACTCATTCTTTTCCATACCTATGATACAGTATTACTGTCCATTTGCAGAAAATGTCATTACTGTAAAAAGGCGCAGCAGTATGGAAATAGCACAGTGTGACATTGGTCGATCTACTACATAGGCTGAAGATTGGAGAACTAAGGCAGAGTACATACTGAGGAGTGATGATTAAGCAAGAAAGTGATGTATTACCAATATCAAATCCAAATTACCAACTAATTCAATATTTGGTAACCGATGTATTGACCAATGAATGCAAACTTACACTGTCCATCACAGCTAAAATTTTCCTTGATGATAGGATATGATTTCTAATATCTTGTGGGGAAAATAGTTTGGCATGTTCGTAATGAAGATTAGTCGTTTTCGATTTCTTCGGGATGAATGGATTGAACGCATTCAAATTCCCAACACCTGGACGAATAACATGACGATCTGATCGATAGTTGGCCATCTGCAAACCCAATGGTACTACTAACTATCGTCCAAAGTAGATGATTAACAAGGGTAAGAAATGAAAAATAGACACGTCTAGAGATTGATAGTCTATCTACATCGATAGATGGTGTAGAATTCTATCCAATAATGACGATTTTTGTCGGCCTTATTAACTGAAAATGATGGAAAGAAATTACTTGAATGGCGACTCTTCAGTGTTGGCGTCGCTGATGTTGTGACTCCCACACGCGTCAATGTCAAAGTAGTGTGTACTGTACGCCGTGTGTCATAGCTTAAAGGGTGACCCTAGAGTACAGTATGATTACAATGGACTGTACGTGAGTCAATGGATAGTGTTACACGATTGCACACGACAATAGTCATGGAGTGACTCCATGTTGGTGACAATGCGCGCGCGTCATTACAGCAGCTACAGCAGTAACGTCGTATCGTTGACAGTCCATCCAGAACTGGCACTGCACGCTGCTTAATATTTCCTTCGTCATCTTTGGCGAACTGAATTTGTACTTTTTACTTGATACGCATCAAAATATACACTGAGTGTCTAGTGTATACTAGAGACCCTGCATCCAAAAATGAGTATACACATCTTTGGCGTACTGAACTTGTACTTTTTACTTTATACGCATCAAAATATACACTGAGTGTCTAGTGGACACTAGAGACCCTGCATCCAAAAATGAGTATACACATCTTTGGCGTACTGAACTTGTACTTTTTACTTTATACGCATCAAAATATACACTGAGTGTCTAGTGGACACTAGAGACCCTGCATCCAAAAATGAGTACTGTATACACTGCAATAATGTACTGGTGAACAACACCGGTGAACTGCGATGTCAAAGTAACGCAGTAAAATATCCCCCTTAGTGCAGCTAGTGCTTACATAAACGCTATTCTGAAATTTACTGTTAATTTCATGCACAGTACAGCGATCACTGTTGCTGAACAAAAGAGGTGTTGTCTGTACATAGACACGCCTGCACCCATGTCCACGTGGTCCAGTCTTCATTGAAGAGTTTGATCTAGAACAGACTACATTAACATTCAATCCTGTTTCATTGAAGAAACGTGGACCAATCTTCAATCTGATTTCATAAATGAAAATGTATATTGGTTAAAAATAAATTTGATTTAGATCGATCGATATAAAACACAACGATTGACTCTATTCCACTACGGGTATACCATATAGCTCGCAAATTCGCTTTGCTAATATCGACAATTAATGAGGAGCATTTGTTTCGTCACTAAGTAAACTTGAGCTATAGTATTTTCTAATCAAACCTCCACTGGCTGGTTTTGTTTTTCTCAACTGTTACCGTTATCGTTAATCCAACTTTACATTCATAGTTAAGCGTGATCCTTTTGCAAAACTCTGCTAGCAATTACGAGTAAAATAGTTGTATTAAGGACTACTACAAAGCAAGTGCAAAATAGTGAGTGTAATGTGGAGGTTCCTTCGGTCATTCCATTCTACGATACGATATTAATGAAGGCGTATACTGTACCACATATTGGACAAAAGCAAGCTAGCAGCTAATTTGCAGGAAAATAGGAACCTGCGCATTGAAGGATAAGGTCACAGTTTTCGTCACGTTCAATCCATTTTTTAAATTCAATATTTTATTCTTATTTATTTATTATTGTCATTCTTGATGCGTTCCATTGCTCTGTATCACTGCCTACTGTAGTGTACTGAAAAGGGATTACTTTCCTATAACCTATTTTAATAAAAGTATAAATGAAATGTATTGCTATCGGTACTGCATTAGCCCGTTCGTTTTAGTTCTATTTTTTTCCCAGTTAGAGCACTAAGACGAAATGAGAACAGTATAAATAAAATGTATTGCTATCGGTACTGCATTAGCCCGTTCGTTTTAGTTCTATTTTCTCCCAGTTAAAGCACTAAGACGAAATGAGAACAGTATAAATGAAATGAACACAGTGTACTGTACATTACAGTACTGTACTGTACTGTACTGTATGTGTGACAGACTGACAGGACAGTATCTAGAGTGTACAGTGTATAGTGTACAGTACAGAATTGCAAATGAAATAAACACAGTCAGTATGTGTTTAAATGAACACAGTGTACAGTACTGTACATTACAGTACTGTATGTGTGACAGACTGACGGGACAGTATCTCGCGAGGTGCAGACAGTATCTAGAGTGTACAGTGCACAGTACGGTATTGCAGACCGTCTGCAAGACTGTAACTCACGTACTGTACTCAGTGTACTGTACGTGACCAACTATACAGACGGTGTGGACAGAAAGACGACTCACCAATAGATGAATGATATCAAACTAACTGCTCTATCAACAATTGTATTCATTCTTTCCTTTCCATCATCAACGAGCTATCATTCCATCCACAGTATTTGAACAAATCTTCTTCTTCTAATTGCAATCTACAGTAAGTAACTTCAGTAAACAATATGGTTGTTCATTCTTAAAATACATATTAACCAGTCTGGCACATTTGATCGAGATTCATTCAATTCAAATTGTAGGAACCATAACAACATGATGGCGACATCATCTGAAGCGTACGATGATTGAATTATACGAATATACTTTATTATTGCTGCTTGTCAGACTACTATTTTGACACACTGCAAGACTTAATAAGTTACTGCCAATTTGACTTGATGCTGTCATCATTGAATACCTACGTCTAGATACCTCTCTGAAAACGATTGATCTTATCGTGTACGATATTACCAGCCTCGAGTTGAGCCTCCGTTCCTTTCTTCACCGATACTTTATCCACTACTTTCACTCATTCCATCGTCTTGAATACAACACATCAACAACATAAACAACTTCTTACCGGCAGGGTAGTAGTAGTCATGCCAGCACTAATAACTTTCGATCACCTAACTCCTGTTCAAAGCATCATTTCCTGTGCTCTTTTAGCCGTACTATACGTTTGCAGCTTATACGTTTGGAAAAATAGCACCGACAGGTAAGCTCATATTACCATAATAATTAGAATAGCATTCAGCATACGCACAACAAACCTTCTGTTGCAGTTAAATCGACCAAATGTATCTTTACAATTTTATATCAATCTTGCATGAATAATTCCTTTTTAAGCTTGCAATTTCAATGAGTAGGAAAAATACTAATCGTTGGCCAATCGGCCCTGTCTTATAATCTGATTTTCTATCAAGTGTTGCTATGAAATGCATCATTACGTGTAAACAACGTCTTGATCTTAAGATACTGCAGACAAATCCATAGCGCTAGCGTAACTATGATATATTTATGTTAGACATTGAAACGCTTGAAAATGCATAGCGATAACTTCTTTCTTTCTTTCTTTCTTCATGTCTAATGATACTATTACAAACGTCATTCAATTTAGAGATGATCCTCGGGTTATCAAGAAAAGGTTTATTAGTGTTCTGATTGTTTCTATTCTATCACCTATTTATGTTTGGTGGTGGTCAACACCTGCTAAAGATGCCGAGGTAATGCGAGTACGATAATATTTACAGTAGATAAATCCAATTAATTCTTTGAAAGACTTAGCAGCTTTGATCAATTCTGAATTCCCTATTATAAAATTGTCCGCTTACCTAATATCCATAATATATTTTATAATTAATAGGGTTATACTATAGGGGTTTGGTTGGGATTGCGAATTGATAATATCATTCTTGCAACGATACTTCCTCTATTATTAACTACGGTAACTTTATTAGTCAATCATTTCTGCTTTATACGTATATCATGATACCATTTTAAATTATAAATTACGCTGTATTAGCATTACTAACGAATAATCTTGTTAAAACGAAAAAGTGGAGTATTAATCTTCATGAAATTTGTTCAATTTCTAAATGTAGCTTTTATACAATCCTCTTATCATGAAACAACTATGGAAAATTGAATCTATAAACACAAATGCATACTAAAATTTACATGTACTTGTTATTTTAGATTTTATTTCTAGGACCTTTAGCACTAATAATATGCAACGATCCAAGTTCGATCCTATATGGTATTTCATTACTATAGATGTGAATGTAGAAATGATGTCAATATCTGAATGAGCCACGCAATAACTATACAATTAATGCTATCCATATTCCATAATAATATCAATTAAAGGGGTTTATCGTTGAAAACGTTTCTTTGTTATTGAACTAGCTGTCATAGACATACCACATAAAATCTTTGATATATATTGGTTAAGGAGTCATATTATGGTATGTTTCTGGCTTATTGGTGTATCTACTATCACACCTCATAATTATGATAAATATGATAATAATGTCTATATGTACATACTAGTGCATATTTTTGTAATAGTCTCTAGGAATAGGATTTATGCAGTCAATCTCTCTCTTATAGTAGCTAATAATTTCATAATTATTATTCTTAACTATCTTAAATCTATTTACGTACTGCGCTATATCTATTTATGTCTCATAATCAAATTTATGTATTGCAGGCACCATTTACAGAGGAATTTGTATATCGTGCATGTATGCTGCCGATACTATTTTCTCAATTCGGATTCACAATGGCAATACTAATTTGCCCATTAATGTTTGGCTTAGGTACGTTATCATTTTATTGAATATCGATTATAATGATATTATGCTTACTAATAATAGGGATATAAAGTTCTTAATTCTACTCAGTTACATTCTATAATATGTGTAATCGTATTCTATTTATACAGCTCATCTTCATCATTTGATTGAAAGAATTATAAGGAAAGATAGCTCTCTTAGTAACGCTATTGCTATTACAGGTACGAATAGTACTCATGCTAATCAATATCACAATTAAGGATTACCAAGTATTAAATGTCATCTTTAACTATTTTTTTGATAACTACGATCTTAAATATCTCCACAATAATTACAATCTAGTATTTCAATGTGGATTCACCACAGTGTTTGGCTGGTATACCTCTTTTGTGTTTCTTCGAACTGGTAAATTCATACGAAATCGGATTATGAAATTAATTACGACTCCGATATGTCATTGTATACGCCGTTTGCGTGAGAATAGTTTTTTCTTTAAATTAAATTATTCATGGTTCTAGAGAGTATTAAAATATTAATAGAATCTTATATTAAAACAGAATTATTCTACTTTTAATCTATCATTTTTAGGCCATATAATTGGCCCAATTGTGTGCCATGCATTTTGCAACAGTATGGGATTTCCAACATTTAGCGATATTGACTATTGTAGATACCCTAAATGTAAGTTTCAATTACTGGCTGCTAAAGTAACGGTTTTACACATGTGCCTTGAAACTAATATTATTTTAAATTTAATCATTACCATTTTTTAGTAATTTGGACCGCCTATATTGTTGGTTTAGTAATGTTTGTCATACTTTTATTTCCATTAACTAATCCTGATTACTACCAAAGTCTTTATAGGAATATTGCTAACAATAAATAGCAAAGATTATTTACTAGTAGTAATACGTGTATTCTTGACTTAGTCGCATTTCCGCATAGATTTGTGATATGCGTCTTAACAAAGATGAAGCTACAACTTTTCGCCATTAAGATAATTGCCACCTATTATACCAGATACTGTACATTAACTTTGGATTTCTTGTACAAGACTAGGTATTTTTAATAAGTTATGACGAGTAATGCCTATGAAAGGTCTAAATGTATCATTTATATGATCGCTATTAATACTTACATTTACCAAAAAATTGCTCTTAGGCGATCTTATACGATATAAAATACGTATATAATTATACATAAGTAATTGCTGTTCTGATTATACATTCGAAGCTTATTAATGCTAATGGCTGTCAGAGTAATCAACTGATTACTGATATAATATGTAATTGACTTTAAAAATTTTTTCGATTTGTTTTATATTCCTGTGGAGTACTGTATATGTCGGTGTATATTAGCTGTCAACAATAAAGACGCCGTAATTGAAATAGATTAGAATACTTCGATGCCCTTTAGTAATTTTATTCTTCATCTAGTTATATTATTACGTCAGAAAGTCGAAATCATTTATCAAGAGAGATTAACATTATTTCGTGTTCCATGTTACTTAAAACTGAGATGGATGATTTTAAAAATTCAGTTTATAAGTTATCTGGAAGTCACCAAGTCGACAGAGCATGTTCAATTAAATTGGTGGTAATAAGTCCTTCCAAAGTGTAGACAACATCATATTATTATATATATATTGTATATGTGATGACCATATGTTGTTCTTAACTACAATTTTGAGCAAAATTTACAATTTGGGAATATAATAATTTAATTTAAATTGCATGTAAATACTATACATGTTATATACCGATAGATGCCCTATCGCTAATCTTAAAAGTTTGCATATATAGCATACTTGTATCGTCATGTATTGCGGAATCATGATTAAAAAATAATAACCGAGTAGAAATTAAAAAAATTCTAATAAACTATTTGTTATAAGTTAAAGAAGCATATCTCTTTGTATATGAATAATCGGTGATTTTCTTTTAAATTACTTCTCCAAATTGTGTTTGTAAATAATAATAATGAAAGTGAGAACTATATCGTCACTATGGACACCAATTAATAGGGAGTCTGTGCACGTTGACCAGCACGATAGGCATTACTTAATGCAGTATTCCAGCTAAGATTGCGAGCATTATAAGTATTAGTTTGTTTTAATAATTGTTCAATTCGTGCTATAATTTCATAATCCGGTATTGGTAACGTAGAAACTTCTAAGCCGAGTAGCCGAGCTAACGTCTGGCGAAATTCTAGTAACTAAAAGTTATGAAAATGAAACAAGGTTAGTTAGTATAAAGAGCTTATGAATATATTTGTAATAATACAAGCTAAGGAGTAGTATAAACTTCCAGTCTGAATCTAATAGTAATATTTAGAAAGACATGAAAATTCTATAGCGACAGTTGCAATGAAATTTAATAGCTACCTGATTTTCTCGAGCTCTCATAATTTCCATTTCTTGCTTGATTTTACGTAAATCCTTTTGAAGTTGTGCTGCAATACCTTCAGTTAATTCTTTGTCATCTTTATGAAATGTACCTTGCAAATCTATTTCATTTTTCAACGACGAAAATTTCTTAGTTGCTCTAGCTTTAGCTTTACTTAATCTGTCAATGGTTGTCTCCAAATCCAATATTGTCTTACTTTGCTCCACAACTTTAGACTGAATTAGTTAATAATAGAAATTGATATTTACTGTGAGGTAGTAAATTTATTACTTACAACGTTCAGATAAATTTCACAACAACGAGTGAATATATCTTAATTTTTGTTTAAGTTACCTTCAAATCTGATGATGAAAGAAGCCTAGATTTTAACTCCAAAATAATTTGTTTCTGATCTTGTATCTGTCTTTTTAGCCTTCTATTTTCGCCATGTGAATCACGAAGCTATTATTATAATGATAAATGACATGGTATCGATTAATCTCAAGAATAAATACAATATTACACCACAAAATAACTTTATTCGTTGAAGGAAATAATGATTACACATACTCTTTCCATGGTGTGCTCCTTTTCAGCTTCTATATGTTGCTGGCCAGATGCTTTTTCCCTGACAGTTGAAAGTTTTTTCTTCATTATGTCAATCTGAAGCTCTTTACTTTCTAGCTGCTGCTTTAAAGTTTTAATTTTTCGCAGTTGATTCTGTAAGGTCACTTTTCTATCGCCAAGTGATAGCAGCTAAGCAAAAGTAGACATTGAAATCCAACATTGTTAATATTTATGATAGGTATTCTGCTAGAGCAATTATTAAATATCTCTATAAAATAAAGGATTTCATGAGATAAAAATTAAGCAAAGAAGACTGATTATTAATAACGTACAACTAACACCTTTTTTAAGTCGTTTAGGAATTTAATTCACAAACATGATTGCCTTCTTAACATCATATTTGGTTAATACTCATTACCTCTTTGTTAACCAATTGTTCAACACGAGATAGGAGAGCATCTTCATCATCGAAAGCGACTTCTTCGGTAAATTCACTCAAGTTGATTACAGACGCTAATTTCCTACAGAAATTCCTATACTGTTTATCCATGATATAAAAAATTTTAGTTATTTTTTAACCTACGTAAAAATGAATCTTTTTCTAGACTCTACAAACTAAATGTAGAAGTGAATTGGTTTTCTTCATGTACATTATGCAGCAACAAATATATAAAACTTAACCTATCATTAATCGAAAATTGCTAACGCATAATAGATGCATTGGAAGTAGTAAATATCTAGAAGCTAGCTTCCTAACCTTAACTTTCTCGTCTTTTAGTGTAGATTTAACAGTATCTGTTGCCAGTAATTCACTTTCTAGGTTGCCCATTCGATCACCGTAATCTTTCAATTGATCTTCAGCTTCTGCCGCTCGTTGTAAGGCAGAGTGTTGTAATTCACATTGTTTTTCGAGCTGATCGCTCAAAGTTTTGACTTTCTCTTCCAATTCTTCTGAGTACTGTAATGTTATATTTAATAAATTGTTTTTTAAAACAAGCATTATGCAATTTCAGAATATGAAATTAAAGCATTAAGACGCACTGGCGTAATTTTAGGGTAGGATTAATCTTACCTCTGACAATTCGCGGTATTTCTTTAAGATAGCACGTAATTTTTCGCGAACAATATCTTCATCTTCATCATCTATTACGTCATCACCTAGCAATCTATAAATTTCTTTTCGTAAGCCCAAAACCTATAAATTAAAAAGGCCAATTAGAAATAGGCTAAAAACTGGTACGGGTTTTAAAAAAATATAAGGATGCATACTTGGCCTCTAGAGAGATCATTTGCTCGCAGTGCTGCATCTAATGATGCAATTCTGGCATCTTTCTTTTCCAGCTCCCTTTCTGCGGCACGAAGAGCTGTAGATGCTGCTTCTAGACGGTCTTTCAGTTGTTTACTTTCTAGCTCTAATCCATCCTTGATTAAAGATAGCGAACTATAACGACTTTCAAATTCTTCTAAACGATGATTTATTTTACTGGAAGTCTTTTGTTCGCGACCAACTTCGGAAACAAGGCGCATGATCGTTTCCCTAATTATTAACAATATTATTGTTATTCTTTAATGTCGCGATCTCGATACATTTAGCAACATAAAATTTTTAAATTATTGAATAATATCGTAATTGCAGATACTAAAATTTTCCTTCATACCTGCTAGCCTTTGATTCGAGATCCATGCTCTCTATACTTCGCGATAAGACATCTGCTTTCTCATGATAGAGATCTCTTTCTTGTAAAACTTCTTCAATCTGTGCCATAACAAAATTTAGAAAAATGATCAAAAATTGCCATTCTATCTACATATTATACTTGAAAGAGAGTAATTACCAGTAGATCTCATCTATGTTATGTTTTGTAAAATAGATACTTACACGGACAGCGATATCTTCAGCAGAGCAAGCTAACAGAGAAGAAGAATCGATTCCAAGGTATCTACTTGCTCTCTTACCAATTTCTTGCAACTTTTTAGATTAATATAAGAGCCGAAGATTAGTATATTCATAAAGCACTATAATAGGATGCTAGGATTTTGTATCAAATACCAGGGTAAATAAAAATATGAAAGATCTCGGTACTGCTCTTACCGAAACTTCTAGTTTATCTATTTTACGTTGATACTTTGCACAGTTAGATGTTTGAGCATGTAACCGATCTTCAAGATCTTTAATTTGCTCCCTCTATATAAAATCATGTAAGCATAATATATTACTTTAACCTGGACATCACTTATTATAAGCTGACCTTAAATCATTACTTACCTGAACATGTAATTGTTCCTGGCTTTGATCGTGAGAGAGCTCGTATTTTGTCTTCCAGTCCTCGGTGCTTTTTGATTTATCTTCGAATTCTCTTAATTTTGATCGAAGTGATCGATTAAGGGCTTCATGGCGGCCAGATTCGTCATTAGTTAGCGCAATCCGATCCTAAAATTTCATAAATGCAAGTATTAGTTAATAGCTTTAAACCATGACATACGAATTCTTTGCAATTATTAATTAAAATAGAGTAATGAACCTTTAATTCTCCGATCCTTCCCTCAGCTAGAAGCAATTTATTCTTCAATTCGTCATTCTATATCATAAGAAAAATAAAGTAGGATTGTAAATATCATACTCAATCTTTGGTGATCGGTATGTGGTATTGATAATATGACACAATAAATACTAACCTCATTCGTAACTTTACTCAGTTTCACTCTTTCATTAGCTAAATCTTCTTGAACTGCTTTGCAACTCCTTTGCATCGCTGATACCTTAGATCATAAAGTTTTAGATTATGTAATACACCGTAACATATTTTTTCATTACCACAATGACAAAGAGTTATAGAGCTTACTTTGTCTTCCATATAACCTCTTTCAGAGGCAATTCGATCCAATTCATCTCCTACCTTCATACCTTCCAGCTATGAGGGAAACAGTGTACATGTTAAGTTTGTGTAAAATTTCGGATATACTTGGTATTATATATAAATTAATCAAACAGATTTTATCATGTTTAAGGTATTGTACATTCTAGTAGTTTATGATTGATTACTTACATATTGACGTTTTTCGTGTTTATGTATCTCACGAAGCTTCTTTTTCAGGTCGTCATTTTCTTCTCTATAAAGAATAGTTTCGAATACAATCAGGACTAACGTAGGTAAATACTTTCATTACAATTCTGAACCATCAACAAGATTTATTAGACGAACAAAGTAATTTATTTGTATAATATTCTAACTTTAGGACTTACCTTAGCCTTACAATAGTTCTGTCCTTCAATTCCAGTTCCTTTCTGTAAGCCTCAAGCTCATCCAAAGACTAACGTGTTTAAATTGAAATCAGATATGTTACAAAGCAACAAAAATCAGCTGCAGATAGATGTGGTGGTTATATTATATTAGAAGTTTTTAGGCTAATAAATTTATAGTTTATCAATACATTATAAAACATTGATGAAATTCTTTCCTAACTATTGAATAATATTTCTAAACAAGCTATATTTTAGTAGGGACTAAGTTGTAGATTATAGATTATAGTGGCTTTCAAAGTGGAAGCTTTAATTTCTATACTAGCTAGCGCGTTATTCCCTACACAAATCTATACTTTTGATTATTAGTGCTGTATTAAGTAATACTATTTCTAATCGATATAAGTTGGAAATAGATTACCTCGTTTAATGACGAACGATGCAGAGGAGACTTGTATTTCTTATAAGGTTTGTCGATTATATCATCAATTTCGCTCGTATCCAGAATACTAGATGAAGCTCCTCTCGGAGAATGATAAGACGAGGAAAGCCGTGATGATCTAGATGGACTTAAACGAGGTGATCGAATGCGGGGACGTCCAGTTGCGGAAATTCTACCGGTATCATAGCTATATTTATCCATCTCGAGATCCTTTAAAAATGTATCGTTATCGCTATCGAATTTAACGATTTTTCTAAGTTTTGATTTTTTTGACAGATTAGGTATATGTCTGGGGCTATCACTGTCTGACCAAACCATTAGGTAAAGTTAACGTGGATCTTTATCTGGTAATTATCAATATACCGTAACTCGGATTGTACAATGATTATAAAATTGTACGTATACTTCTTCCAATATGAAATTTTTGAATTTCTTTCGAAAGAAATGTTCTCAAGTTCAATTTAGGTAATTTGGAGAGATTTCTTGTCGATGTTAATAAATCGTTACCAATCGATATCTGGAATTCTGTAAGTGGTAAGCTTGTGATGTTACCAATTGAAGCTGCTTAGCTGTGTGCGATATCTTCTTATTTACTACCGTCCAGCGTAACTAATTATACGTATCTTAGGTTCTTGTTGAAAAAGATCGGATAATGGAAAACAATTCTTTCCTGTTACCAAGCAACAGTAAACAAATGTTGGAGTCGTCACATGCGCACTAGTTGAGCAATTAGTCATATTCAGACTGGACCGAGACTGGACTTGAATATACAGTACTGTACAGTGTACAGTTGGACACTATATAGATGGACAGACTTTTTGACCAAATGATCGTTACTTGGTATGGACCTCCAGTGTCTCATTTTCTTAATCTCTTCTTGAAATTTTAAAACATTTATGACCTTATATAACTAGTTTCGAGTAGAAGTTACAAAATAAAATCGATTTCAATGTAATATTACTTCATTTAGAGAAATCAGTGGATTACAAAATGTAGCATCCGCTTGTTGACATTTTTCATGACTGTACAGTACTGTATGGAGAAACGAAGTGTTTGGAAGAGGATTGTACAAGATGAAGGCAAAATGTCCGACCGTCCGAGTTAAGTCCGCGGTCTCGATCAGTGCACTGTACAGTACAGTACGGTACTGTAGAGTACAGTATCATACTGTACTGTACAGTGTACAGTACATGGCGATATTGAACACATTGCTCGTAATCTGTACAGTGTACAGTGTACAGTACAGCTACTCAAGCTGAGTACAGTACAGTACAAAAGAAATGGATTGAATCAGTAAAAATAGGTTGAGTACTCAAACTCATGGAAACTATAGCGGTACCGCTGTCAGAGCTATCAAGCATATACAGTAGCGTATGATGGACTACAAGCTGATCATGAACATGAGAAAATAAGGGTTCTATCCATAAGGTACGTTTCTTTTACCTCTGATTCGGTCCATGTGTATTGATTAATGATTTCTAATTTCTATAGTGATTGTAAAAGTAGAGGACAGATTCTGTCCGTCTCGTATTCATTTCATTGGCCGTGATCCAGTGATTCAAGTCAAGGACTACAGTAACTGTCCACTGTAGTGGGGTTAGGTAAGTACTCGTACAGGGTACAGTACTGTACAGTACAGTACTGTCCTTTTCTTGAACTCTATGAACAGTACATTGTACTGTACACGTAGTGTACAATATACTGTACTGTACTGTACAGTACAATTCAAGTAGTACCGTGCTGTACAGTACAATATGAACGATGCGTACTGGACTCTCTGGAGTGGAGTGGAAATAAAATGAGTACAGTGATAGCGTAAGCAATCGCTTGGCCTCTGATTGTTAAGACTTGGCAAATCCTTTCTCGTAGAAGACTAAAGTACTGTCTTACTGTCATCAAGTAAACCATTCGACGCGAAACGGCACGTCGTTGGCCGTCAGTCCAATCAGTTGAAAATTTGAATCTTCTTATTCGGTTGGCGTTGCACTCGAAATCATTGTGTCATGTCAAGTAAGCTTCACCTGAATGGTAGAACTAACATAAACTATTGAAATGTGAAATGTCATGTTGAATTCTGTTCGTCAATTTCATTTTAGCAGACGATGTACAATGTATTAATTGTACCAATCCGATTGGTTGCAATGTGTACGTGCAATGTAACGAATGTGAAGATTTCATCTTATGCCTCCATGTAAGTTCAGATTAGTCAATGTATATACAGTGTATATGTACAGTATATATATATATACACATAAGGTAGTACTGTACATGATATTCAGTATAGAAGACTTGTTCTGTACAGTAGTTGTACGACAGTGACACATTGACAGTTCCATCCCAACTGTCTATTGTACAGTACAATGCCCATTGGTGTACTGTATACCGTACTGTACTGTACACTGTACCGTACAGCGCCCTGTATTAACTGAAAGAATCGAAAAAATTGGTTCTACCCCGTTGTGTCAATTTGCAGATTTTGGGACCGTTAATTCACTTTTTTACATAATAGAATTAGCGATATGATTGAAGTAGAATGTTAATCATTTCATGTATTGAAAATATTCTATCTTTTTACCTTAGTGTTTTTCACATGGGGTCGAGCTGGGCTCGCACACCAGAGATCATGGATACATGATTATGGTAAGAAATTCGTCCAGTGCATACTGTAGTACTACAGTACATTTGGAGTTCTCGTTTGTAGTAATAGACTACTTTACTGTCGATGCCTGGATCTACAAAATGACAGAGACGGATTAGTTTTACCGATCTTGATGAATGCCATTCAAATTAATTCATTCGTAAGCCTATTTGTCTATTTACAGGACTTGAAATGAGAAATAAGTAATATTATGTCACATAATAATGCGTAAAATAGAATTCACAAATGGACAAGTAGATTGGCTCAAACTAGTCACTTGATTGCTAATACGTGCTGTACAGTACAGTACTGTACATACTGGACACTGTACAGTACGTACGGTATACTGTAATACTAATCATGGGTATTAGGTAGAATACTATAGTTAAACTAATTCAGGGATGCCACTACAACTACTATAAACAGTATGCTTACTCTACTGTAATATAGGACAAAAGCTTGCAGCTTCAAATTTGTTCCAGCTTTGTGTTGTAAAGCCTTGCACGAAGATGCAATCTAAAATATGCAGATTGCATCGTAAAACTCTACATGCTTGATGATATTCATTTTTCTTAATATATATTAACATGCCAGTGATACAGTACAGTACTACTCAGTGCATATTGCAGTATGTCATCACTAAAAGTATCTACAGAATTGTAATATACGTATAAGTATTAGATGTCAATGGCATAATGAATCATATAGCAATGGATAGAAACCATATCAGTACATCATTGCATTATTCATTAATAATAATAGACGATGGAAGAGAGGCATGATTGACCGATTGAAAACAATGCATTCATTATATACATATTATGCATTTGAGCTACCTCGTAAATGAATACAGTATGTAAATTGCTATCGTCATGCTTGACCTATGGATAGGTAACAATAACAACATCCAGTATATCAGATTTACTGTAGAAAGGTGCAGCTTTTAATATAGACTTTGCATTATTGCAATCTCTGGAGAACTACTTGATGTACAGTACAATGATTCTTATGTTGAATCATTTACTGAAACTTTATATCGCTATTGTTGTAGGCTCTAGGAATCTACAGTAAACTAGGGATGTAATTTGCATAGGCTTAAGGATACATGAGAGTTTTCTATATTACACCCCATTGTAGAATGCAACAATTAGCTGGGATATCATTCATTGGAAAGACTTGAAGGTGTTAAAATTATCTGCAATGCTATTCAAACAAGAAATAGCTAGCCTAAAAATATAAATAATAGTAGCGTCAGCTAAAGGCATCTTAATTCCTTCTAAAACCATTCGATTGTACGTATTAGTATCTCACCTAATGAAATACACCTTTGGTTTTAAGTAGTCTCTTTGATAACTGATGTCATAAACAGTTGACATTATACAAGTTACATTTGCTGCTGAATTGCGATACATACCATAACAAGCTTAGTATCATATCTATAATTTACCTACTTCAGTCAAAAAATACCATTGCTATGACCTCACTCATTCAGTGTGCACAGTGAATCATTTCAAATGATAGAAAATTTTACTTGAAATCAATTCTAGGATAATGGCACGTTTCCTCTGATGGATTGCAACTGGTTAGCTATTGAGGAATTAGCATTATTGGAAGCTATAGAACAACATGGAATGGGAAATTGGTCAGTGCTAGACTAGTAAATGGAAAAGTTATTCGTTGCTGTACTGAGTATTCAGTCACACTTTAGGATCTACCATATTGTCTTGTCAGGATATAAATTATAAATATATAATTCTTAATTGCGATTGCAGGGACGGAGCGGCTGACCAATTAAGAACAAAGACACCACGAGGTATATTAATAACTATTAAATGATGCTATTGACATATATATAGAACAGTACATACATTCGATTATCGTCTTTTATGAGTGTTAATTAGCACATGGACTATTACGATACCTAATTATATTGATACTGCTAAATATTGTAATGTAATCATCAAATTTTTGTTGGTATCCGACTTTGCATAACCGCTAAAAAAGTAATCGGGTAACTATTCTTAGGAATCTAGTATATTAATCATTTTCATCTTCAATATAGAGAGCAGAGAGCATTACGAAAATTATTATGTATATGGAAACATCGGTAAAGGTAAGCAGTAAAACGTAAGGCTTAATTTGAAATACTGACAGATTTTAAAACCTATAAGAAATTTTTTCTTTTTCATTTCAGCGACTAGAGCGGAAAAAAGAGTGCACCCGGTAGATCATGTTCAGTCCAGCGGTAATTCTAAAATTGAAACTATAAGTGCTGTATTGAAATATATTCGATCTAAAATATAATAATTATTATTACATGTACTAGTTGCGACACAATGTGAAGCAAATACTGAAGCCAACGAAAACATGACTTTAGAAGAACAGCAAGAACTTGGATATATGCCATTAAGGGATGATTTTGAAAGAGTAAATACACCTTTTATTGTTATTATTACTTACAGTTAGTAATTTAAAAGCAACTTCTTATAACACTATGGAAATATCTTCAATATTTACAGGAATTTAAAAATGAAGCTGAAGAATTGGTCACCGAAATATCATTTAGTAACGACGAGCCTAAATTAGAATCAGGCATGCTAAGTTTAATCATTAGTGTTATTCGCATTAATATTTCTAAATGCTTTTAGTTAAAGTCGTTGTTATATCTGCTTTATTTAGATTATAAAATTGCTCAAACTGAAATTTATTGTCGTGATTTAAAAGACCGCCAAAGAAGAAAGAAGTAAATATGTGAATTTTTATGTGTTGATATTAAACTGAGAAATTTTAAAATAACTAATGAAAATCAACTCGTCGTTATAATTTAACATCTTTAGTATCGCTAGACAAGCTGATCTTTTATCTGGAAAGCACAAACGAAATGGTATTTCTAAATTGCTTTGATTTCACTCAATTAGATTTGGGTGATCTAACTTTAGAGCATGTGATAACCATATAGGATTTTTTAATTATTTTTTAGTAATTAGGAGAAAGTTAAGTAAGGAGGAAAAGTAAGTCATACAATTCATAGCAGTTGTAATGCTGCATGATGAATTTATTAATCAAAAATTATGTGACATTAAATAGAAAGTTTCGTATCAAGATGAAAC